GTGTCCGCCCTTGTCCGTTGGCCATGAAACATTTCTATTCATTTGTTCCCAGGTCCGTTACTGCTGGTGTCCGCCCTTTTCCGTTGGCCATGTAGCATTTCTATTCATTTGTCTCCCAGGTGTGTCACTGCTGGTGTCCGCCCTTTTCCGCAGGCAATGCAGCATTTCTATTCATTTGTCTCCCAGGTCTGTCACTGCTGGTGTCCGCCCTTGTCCCTGGGCCATGTAGCATTTCTATTCATGTGTTTCCCAGGCCTGTCACTGGTGGTCTCCCCCCTTTTCCGCTGGCCATGTAGCACTTCTATACTTCTATTCATTTGTTTTCCAGGTCTGTCACTGCTGGTGTCCACCCTTTTCCGCTGGCCATGCAGCTTTCTATTCATTTGTTTCCCGGGTCTGTCACTGGTGCTGCCGCCCTTTTCCGCTGGCCATGTAGCATTTCTATTCATTTGTCTCCCATGCGACTTCTGTCTTTTTGTCTTTCAGGTTTGGTGCCTGTACTGCTGTTTTCTGCCGCGTGACTGTCTCCGGGAGTGCATTCCTGCCACACTGTGTAACTCTCTCAGCTTTGTTTTCCTTTTCGGGCAAGCGTTCCATGAATTACCGGATTGGATTTTGTGACAGTCTCAGGGCATGCGTCAGGCACCAAACATCAATTTCATGTCACATCCTTCGCTCCTCATGCTTTTATTTCTTGTCTTCACGTGGTCAGCTCCTTGCTGATTGAGCAGCATGACCAGCATCATGTTCGCACTTGAAGAATAATTCCCCAAAAGGTTTACTGTCAGGGCTTCTCAATTCTTTCTTAAGATGTGTCCGCCCGCTCTGTACTGCTGTGTCCGTCTTTGCCTTGCAATCCTTTACACTCGTCTCCCAGCTCTGGGCTGCTGTGGCCGCCTCTGCCTTGCAATCCTTTGTCTCCCAGCTCTGGACGTCGCAAGCTCTAGTTTCGATGTTGAAAAACACAAACTGGTTGGGGTCTACGGTGATGTAATTTCAGTATGTTTCAGTCGTAAGTTGTATTTATTCACTGAGCCGTCTTCGCACATACAGTAAGCGAGCGGTTTTCCGAAAAAGACCTTCTTGGAACTTCAGAGTTTGGTTTGAACACAGAGGACAGCCTTGAGCACTTTCTCGGACATGACAGACGAACTCGGAAGCCTTTGTTCGGAAGCCTGTTCTGACCGCCTGGCTGGGCAGGTCAAGATGAACATCTCCGGCATCAACTTCAATGGCTCGATGTGGAAGGTCGTCGCTGGCAACTGCGCGATGGACTCCTCTCATTGTGCCTTGGACCGCCCAAAAGCCGGCCTCCAGGTCAGAGGCGTGGGAATGAATCGAACGAATCAATTCAGCCTTTTTGGATGAAGACTTTTCGTTGCAATGCGTTATCCGGATGGAAGTCATGTGATTGCTTTATTTTGCCTTCTATCGGGATATGGTCCAAGTCAAAGTACCGAAGCTGAGGTATTATGAGCCCTGGCTACCCCAAGGAGTATCCAGTGAAGGATGCCTGTACCATTGCTGTCAATGAGAGTGCAGCTGTCCCAATCCATGTAGAGCCTTGGTCAAACAGACCATGGCAAGAGAGGTGGGTTGGGCAAAATCCGACTCTGATGCATCTCCTGTTTTGGGAAGCCAATGCTTTTGGTTGGATTCCACTTTCTTCCCTAGGTGTGTCGACTTCCGGCATGGTATTCTCTGGAATCCTTATTTTACTTAATACTCAAAATTGATTTGGATGTGTTTTCAAAAATTGGATATGACTTGATTTTTTTTTTTTTTTTCAGGGGTGTTGATTTCAGAATTCTTTCTGAGTTGATTTTTCCCAGGGCTTAATTACAGAGTTGATTGCTGAAGTGACTTTCCACGCGGTTTGATGCCAAAGGTGGTCCGTGAACTGATGTTTTCAAGAGCGGTCTTGGTGGATTACAGGGGGCTATTCTAGCCATTGCTCACCACAAGAACCCTTAACGCCTGTCATATTCATATTTACTATCATCAGACACACATGCGCAATATAACAGATGACACGGCCAAATCCAGAATTAGTTTTCCCTCTTAGCCTCTCTCCAGAACAACCCTCGAATCAGCTCCAGAATCAATTTTCCTTCGGAGCCCGTCTCCAGAAACAACCATTGAATCAACCCTGGAATCAATTCTATTTTTTTCGAAGACACATTGATTTTAGAATTGATTTTTTGTGTTGATTTTAAACATTGATTGCGAAGTTGCTCTCTAATACATGGTGGAACAGGTTCTGAGTCGAGTTTGATTCTGGGGGTGGTTCTGGAGCAGGGGTGGTATTTGAGGATTCTGAGGTTGGTTCGGGACAGGCGCTGGTGTGGAACATGCGCTCAGCACTCTGGAGCTTGACCCTCACAGCCCTCGAGGCCCTTGCCGCTATTGCAATCTCTGATAGGAAGCTCAAAAGCCAACCCCAGAACAGGTATATGAATTATGCATACCTTTTTAAAGGGAATACCTTTCACAAATCAGTTTATGTATATAGTCAACCTAAAATCAACAACCATAAAATCAATTGGTGAATCAAGGTCCTTCCAGAACTCAAATTTCTGAATCAACTAAAATTGTTTGAGCCTCCCAGCAGAGATTACCACGTCGGGAAGTCTTAATCCTAGGTCTAGTTGTTTGATTCTGTTGTTTGATTCTGTTGCTTGGTGCCAAGAGGGTAACCGGAGAGGAGAGCTAGCAGACGGACGACTTCATGATTAAGACATATCTTATTTGATTTTATTTGCCTGCATCTAGAGCAAATTATGTGTATTTGTCAGAAAAGCAAACCGTGGTTCACAGCACGCGGCTGAGGTGAATTTTTCGACCGAGGAGAAGTTTGATGCCTTGGTGGAAAACTGCAAGTTCTATTCTGGCAAGACACTTTGCAGCAGAGATGAACACATCATGTATGATGTAGTGCTACTTGGGGCTTTGCATCTATTCAGCAAAAGCCAGTCACCATCTCGAAGATGCCCGCGCATGTTGCTTGTCCCTTAAGGAAAGGGCCAGAAAAAGTGGATGCTTGGATAGAACTGAGATGGGAGAGGTCAGTAGAGAACTGGCTGCCAAACCTTTGAGCAAGGGAGACGCGACGTTCTTTTGCATCCCGGAACCCCTACAGTATCATTTATTGTTTGCGCTCCCAATTGAGCTCACGGCGCGAGCCCATCTAGATGCTCCGACGAGCCTGGTCCTTGCTCCGATTCGTCTTTGCCTCCGGCGTCGAGGTCCCGACAGGAGTCATCACTTGGCACTCCGATGAGAGCGTCGTGAGCGCTGGCTGGAAGATTTGTCCTGGACACTGGCACCTCGGAGCACCGCTTCTCAGAACGCGCCATGCGGTGCAAAGGGCAATCGGACTACTGAGGCACTACTGCTACCTTAGGTTATACTGTGTTTTGTTCAGGTGAAGTTGGGTGTTTACAATGTGGAGACTGACCCGTTTCAAACACTAACACTGACACTCATTTAAGCGAAGGGGTGCGGACTGGTGTCTTGCACAAGACTTGCGTGTCTGCGAACAGCCTTGGCAGTCAGGGCCTGAAGAGCCTGAGCTCACGGATTGACCGGGCTTTGCGCCCAGGACTGTCGCCTGTGTCGTGTAGCCCCGGCGGACAGTGCTCAGTATGGACTTCAACAAGACCCTCGGAGCAAGGGCTGAGCGTGTTTGCAGTTCGGACTCGGAAGACTCAATGGGCGCGCTCACCTGGGATGACTGGTAGCCTACGCGGTTGACGCCGCGTTGACGCTGGCCGGCTCGGCAGCGTTGACAGCAGTATTGCGAAGCGTGGCAGTATAGGCAGCAGTGCATCAATTGACGCATTCGCAACGCTGGCTCTCCAAGGGCTCCGGCGACAGGTTTTGGCGTGTGTATGGGGCATTATAAGGCTTGGTGTCTTGGTTCTGGGCTGTAGGATAAATGAATTAAATGGCCCTACCACGGGCCAGGCGTGTTCAGACACGTTTGCTTTTTTTGCCGAAATATCGTGACCGCTACGTAACATTCTGAAGCCGTGGATTTGGCCAGGGTTGCTAGTTATTATTTGGTGCTTACCGTGCCTTAGTCACCATGGTACGGAACACACAGCCTCAACGCCTGTTGGTCTTGGTGTAGTGCCCTCATCAGCCGACTCAGGTAGTGACCTCAGCTTCATCTGAGGTATAGCGCTGAGGTAGCACTGCTGTCCTTCAAAAAGGGATTTTGTAGCACCTGGAACTATTAGTCAGGGATTTCCTGAAACCATGGTTTTCCAAGTTTCGAGGAACCATTCAGCAAAATTGGAAGACATTTGAAAGATAGTTTGTTAGTTAATGTTGGCTTCTGGATGTCCAATGCAATGTTAGACCCGTTGAAAGTGAGCTGTGCAGAGACACAGACCTGAGATGAATTCAAAATGGACCCCAAGTCTTCGAGGCTTGCCTAGAGGCCCTGAAGATCTGGGGGGTTCCAAGACCTTCTAGGGGTTTCTTGCAGTTGACTCTGTCGCCTCTGACCCAAGATCAGCAAGGCGAAAGGCCCAAAGGCCGATGCACGAAATTTACGTAATCCCAACTGACCGCTGTAAAGACAAAATTTTAATTGAATCCTCCTTGATTACGTCGACTGGCCCAAGATGGCCGGTTTCAACATGGTTTGACCAGCACGCCGCACCATGAGGATGCGTGCAAAGCTGAAGATAGGCGTGGCAGGCCTACAGGGGTGCACCAAGTGCCCTTCTAGCAGCGTGCAGTGGCACCCCTGTGGCGACCTTGGCGGCAGCGCAGCCGTCGGCGGTCACGGTCCCTTTCGGCCTCGCCCAAAGCGTTGATCCGAGGATTTGACTTGCCTTTTGTGGGTGAGTAATGTGAGTACTACGACTAAGACATACAAAACACAAAACGACGCCCTCAAGTTCTTTCGTTTTCCAATCGGATCAACTCAGCACCACACCCAAGGACAGAAATCTCCATGCCCTGCATGGCGAACTCTAAAAGGAACTTCTTGGGATGAGAGTCTCTTGAGATGTCTTGAGTATGTGTTACTAGTAGCGACGCCCTTGTTACTAGTAGTGATGCACTTGCTACTAGTAGCGAATGGAATCAACGCTTGAGTACAATGTTTTTTTGCTGGAGTGTGGTCGCCGCACAAGGCCTCAGTTTTTGGTTCGGTATTTAAGGTGCGCAAGTCATCAAGACGTTTGTCAACGAGGGTGGTAGATGAACGTCTTGAAAAGCCCACAGCTTTCCACGCAACTCATCGAAGACAGGATGATATTCTCGCAAATGTTCGTGGTGGGATGTTTTGGATAAACACGGATTTTTCGTCACGCATCTTTTCGTCCAAGGCTTTGGCCAGGGCTTCGTCGCCGGAAGAATCGCGGTAGCGGGAACCGTCGGAGGGGTTGGCCTTGGTGGAGCCCATCGACGCCAGGAGTTGGAGAAGAAATACGGAAATCTGGGCGATGGGGCCTGGAAAGCTCAGTGGCTTTGGGGCTTTCGGAAAAAACACTGTAAAGCAAAGAGAGAAGCCTGTGGACATGGTATGATATGGCATTACTGTATTGCTGTCATTATACTGACTCCGTAGCCCTCCTATTTGCCAAAAAACAACCATCAGCTTGTTCTTGGATCCCTCAACGCCACTAGTGAGTCATATCTGTCCTAGGGAACTGAAAGGGCATTTTGTTTGCTTTCAGCATCGATGCTTTGAACACTGCAACGGACTCCGCGTCCTCCGCCCCGAGTCCTGCCTTTTGCTTATGTCAGCTGGAACAACAATCGTGACATGATGACCGATTTTCCTTAGAGTATTTGGCAGAAGAAGGGATGATGGGTGCACGCGTTTCACTACCACCAGCAAAAATGTTCAAATAAGAAGAAGGTGATTCTAACTTGCAACGGAACCAACAGATACTAAAACGATCTAAACTGATTCAAGTGTTGTTGCGGAGAGTATGGACATCAACGTTCGATTCAACACACTTGAAGACATGTTCATTGCCGCTTCGGTTTCAATGCGCCGTTGCGCCTTGGAACTTTGTCTCGAGAGGAAGCCTCCCACGCAAAGATCGTGAGAGATGCTGTCGTTGCTCGGGCCAAAGAATGGATCGTTTAAACATGTTTATATAAGCAAATAGCTACTGGTAGCCTCTAGCTACCAGTACTTGTAGTAGTAATGGCCTCCAACCTACTAGCGATGGCCTCCAACCTAGAAGCCTTTGTTACTAGTAGCTTCTAGCTGACAGAGTTACCGGAAATTGTCTGGGGTATAGGCGGTATGGGCTGATCTCCGAAGAAAACAATTGGATCAAACTGTCCATCCTCGGGGGCCACATGTGATGTACTTATATAGAGGGTACAGTACAGTAATTATTAGGGTTCGCTGTAATACTTATCACTCCTTTCTTTTTCTTGTGATTGTATATATGTAAGAAGCTATGTATAAATTAACCGCTTCAATTCTTCCATCCTGCCTATCCCGCCTTCTTGCGTCGCCCCCTGCGCTTTGAACCACCAACTGCCAAATAGCTGCTAGCTCACAAGCTAGTGTGTGGTCATGACTTGCTTTGTATGTTCAGGGAAGAGTTTAGGTCTCGAGCGTTGAGCTTCGTTTAGCTCATCGCCTCATGAGAACTTCATGAATGCTTCCTTTCAGCACCTAGGTATCGAACCTACAACTCTGAGGACACTGTTCCAGCATTTTGGTGCGACATGGTGAGGCACAGTAGCGAGGTGATAGAAATGTGGCGCTGCCTTTGGGACATTTTTGGACCTATTTTGAAGGTTCACCAATCTCTCTAAGTCTTGCATCGTTTGAACATCCGAGAGTCGCAGAGGACCATCGGCACCGTGTCCTGATCGATAGCAACTTGGCAGCCAGCGTGTGGCTCACGTGCGGTTTGACAAAACCAAGTCGACATGATGGAGAGCAAGTAGAGATTTTGTTGCAGAAGCTCGGTTGGGATGTGGTGAGATGCTGGGGCAGGTGTCCCACCCAGGGGCCATGATTGTTCTACTTCAAAAGCCGACTAGAATTACAGTCGAAAATGGCTCACATCGAAAAGCCTCACAGCCCTCGTTTCGTCCATCCGAGTCGCCTCAAAGTCTCGAAGCGAGGATGGCGCCTCTCGTGTGGGGCGTTCGATTCCCCAATTCCCTCACGACAAGCGACGAGCGACTGCAGGTAAATGGTACCGCTGCCGGCAAGGGCATGAGCTGCGCACGCTGGGCCACTTGATATCCAAGTGAGTCACAGAAGATCCCAGAGGGTAGCCCCTGGTATCCTGGTAGCAGCTGGGAACATAGAGGGGTAGAATAGAATTTGGTATATCAGATCCTCCAAAGTACAGCAACCAGGCACGGTGGTACTGGGATCTTCTAAAGTGTTTGTCGCTTGTATGTGGGCCACCGATAGCCGCAGGGTGAGTAGCTCAAACCACTTCGTTGGTGAAGTTCAAGTGCGTGTCTTCAATGTGATGTTCAGTGCGCTTCGTTTTATCATGTCAGTCTATGATTTCAGTGGAGCATCACACTGAGTGGGCCATGCATGCAACAGCAACCTAGCCGAAGGGTGTCCACAAGGCAAAGGGAAGTTCTTCCCAGGGTCCTTGGGCGAGCCTTGGACGTGTGTTGGATATGCTTGGAGGTTTGCCATATTTGGGGGTGACCTGCAGCCTTTGTGGTCGTGTCCTACCTCCCGGCAGTTGCCTTCATAGCTGTCCGCTGTGCAGCTCAGCCGCAAAACGACTGGGCGACTGGGGGCAGAGGTGGTAAGAACAGGTGCCAAGAGCTGATGTCCAACTGGCTTCGGAGGACTTTCTGATAGTTGTGGACGATGCTCTTTGACAACTGGGTCTTTTCACTGCTGACATGGGTGAAAACTGGGTGCATTCATGCACAGTTCTCAATGTTCTTCAAGCGAAACTGAGCGTTGAGTTGCGGGCAACTTCCTGGTTCCAAAGCAACCCACAAGTGGGTTGGAAGAAATTTTCTTGTCCTTAATGTGATACGTTAGTTTGGAAGAGGGACAAAGGGAAAGGGCGCGGCGGGCATGCTTTTTGTTTTTTTGGAGTCCATACATAACAAATAATACAAATGCTACTACAATACTTTTGCTGTGAAGAAGGATTCCTTGTGGTGGACACGCTTGGAAGTTCACGTGATGTCACCAAAACATCGTCAAGGATGCCGAGTTGCATGGGAATCTTGAGTACGTCCTGGGATTTATATTCATCTCTAAATCATTTTCTTAAAGTTCCCTTCAAGCCCATCCTGCATGCGTTTTCCAAAGTGATCATCAGGACATTTGGTTCCCAAACTCCCCTTCCTGTCAGGCTTTTCCTTTCGTTTTGACGTTCACGTCCTAGGTTCATGGGATGCATGCACGGATTGCTTGCAACGACCAGACTCAGCGCGGAGTTTACAGCTCCTCCCTGATTGCCCCATCTGTGGAGACCCCATGGAGTCACTCGGGCAGATGGGACGAGTTGTTGTGTGGTGTGTTACTTTGCATTGTTGACATTTGCCAGGTTTTGTTTTTTTAATTGTTGGGAAGGTCTTGAGCAGATCCAAGAAAAGACGGACAGCTTCAAAACCCTCTATGACCGGAGCCTATGCCAACGCTGAAGGGTTTGGCTTGCACAAACCCAAATATAGCCAGCAAAGGTGCTCGAACCTCGCACCTGTTTATAAGACTCTATCAGCTCCTTCCTTGAGCGACTGACATGAAAAGGAGGTGTAAAATACACAGGTCACAGACCTTTGACCCGTTGTGTATGTGGAAGCAAGGTCAGGTGCTATCCAAGCTGCTCACATCAGGAGCGAGGCGAACCCTTCGTGAACGCCTGGAAGCCAGACGAAATAGCCGACGTGTAACATCCTCCCTGAGGTGGAGTGACTATCGAGGGGGCCACTACACAAACGGCTGGGCTTGCAACAACAAGTGCGGCTCTAGGTCAGGGACGACGCGGGGTGGAGGGATGCCGGAGCTGATCTTCCATGGTCATAGTCTTTCAATGTTTTTCAAAGGAGTTTCTTGATCGGAGCATAGGGATGTGGGATGTGAGCTGAGGTGGGTCAATGTGGGTCAAAGTCAACAAGAAATACTGATAGTACTGATATCATATGATGTCATTGGGAATTGGGTGAAGAGCCCCGGGTAGACTTGGTGGACTATTCGCTTCATTGTGACCGGCGAGCATGTTGAGAGATGCATCGATCTTATGCCAGAAAAGCAATGAAAAGCATACGTATTTTTTGAAGAAACCAGCGAAGAAACCATGATCTCCAGCCCTTCCATGTCAGGCGATTAAACTCCGGTTTGTGGAGATGGTTCTGCCTGAAATGCGGTGCGGATGTATGTGACCAATGTCACCGTCACAAGGCGGGGCCTTGGAGATGTCATCCGTCGAAACACGAATGCCAGGCGATTTTCCGGTCTGATCTGGATCATCATGACCAAAGACATCTAAAGACATCTAAAGGCAATGAGATGCAATGAGATGGCGCAAAAAATTGCTGAAGTGTGAGACTGATCGTCGGATGATTTGCGGAGGCCTGAAGAAGTTTGCACAGAAGCTCGCTCATGTCGGCCGAACACCCTTGACAGGTGCATCGAGAGAGAGAAGGCGGTTTGCGAGAGAGCCCCCGAAGCTTGGAGATTGGTGCCTTGCCTGATGTGAGTTGTGAGTGGTGTTGAGATGTGTTGAGAGTGGTGATGAAGAGGCTTCCCCAGAAAGCCCACGAGGGTTTCAGGGTGGGCCGTAGGATGTCGTAGCTTTTGTCAATTTTTGTCCATATTCAATCCCGTCAAGGTTTGCAACTCTTTGACTGACCCGATCGGGGAATCAGCTGGGGCATGTTTACATTCTTTGCATTCGGCCCAAGCTACTCTGAGTAGGGCAGACTGCAGCTCTGCCATTGTCCCATCCTAGCGACTCCGTGTGAAAGCCATGTCAAAGCCTTGGATTTTCGCTCTACTGATGGGAAGCTTTGCGCTTCTGGCCATCCTTGCGCTTTCCTTGGAGGTACCCACCTGAGCTTTTCGTTGGTTTGGAACGGTCACACCACCTGCAGCCTCAGCAAGTAGACACGGACTGTGATCCCTCTGAACTGGGACCTCAACCACCACCCTATATAGAATACACATGAATACACTGTAGCAGCCTTAGCCTCATCATTGTAGGAGCTCACCAATATGTTCCAGCTGAGCTTCAGAACTATTCTTCTTGCTGCATGGGTGCTCGACAACAGTCATTCATACAAAGCCCCTTGCTGTCACGGGACTCTCTCACTGAACACAAAGTGCAATCGGCTTCAATGTGAAGCTTCGAACACGAGAAATGAAGGCGTGGATATGACGATGACAGATTCCACGTGCGAAAAAACAAAGTACCAGTACCAGTGATAGATAAAATGGAAGGAAGACCTGTCCCAACACATCATTCCCACCACAGGAAAGACTCTCAGAAGCAAACAAACCATCCAAATCCTGACATGGTGTGTCTTCGAACAGGAGACCCTCCGCTTGGAGTGCAAAAGTAGGGGATGATGAGATGATGGGGATGATGATGACGACGACGACGACGAGGATGATGATGATGATGATGATGACGACGAGGATGAGGTTGAGGATGATGAGGATGAGGATGATGATGATGATGACGACGAGGATGAGGATGAGGGTGATGATGAGGAGGATGATGACGACGACAATGATGATGATGATGATGACGACAACGACGAGGTTGAGGTTGAGGTTGAGGTTGAGGATGAGGATGAGGATGAGGATGATGATGATGACGATGATGACGATGACGATGACGATGATGATGATGCTGGCGATGATGACGACGAGGATGAGGATGGATGAGGATGAGGATGAGGATGAGGATGATGACGATGACGATGACGACGATGATGATGATGATGATGACGAGGATGAGGTGGAGGATGATGATGATGAGGATGATGATGATGATGATGATTAGGATGACGGTGACGATGACGATGACGATGGCCATGACGACGCTGATGATGATGATGACGACGAGGATGAGGTTGAGGATGAGGATGGTGATGATGATGATGACGATGATGACGATGACGATGACGATGATGATGATGCTGGCGATGATGACGACGAGGATGAGGATGGATGAGGATGAGGACGAGGACGAGGACGAGGACGAGGACGATGACGATGATGATGATGATGATGATGATGATGATGACGAGGATGAGGTGGATGATGATGATGATGATGATGATGATGATGATGATGACAACGAGAATGAGGTTGAGGATGATGAGGATGAGGATGATGATGATGACGACGAGGATGAGGATGAGGATGAGGAGGATGATGACGATGATGATGATGACGACGACGATGACGATGATGATGATGAACATGACGGCGAGGATGAGGTTGAGGATGATGACGATGATGATAATGATGATGATGCTGATGACGATGACGATGATGATGATGATGACGACGAGAATGGATGATGAGGATGATGATGATGACGACGATGACGATGATGACAATGATGACGACGAGGATGAGGTTGAGGTTGAGGATGAGCATGAGGATGAGGATGAGGATGATGACGATGACGATGAGGATGAGGATGATGACGATGACGATGACGACGAGGATGGGGTTGAGGATGAGGATGAGGATGATGACGATGAGGATGAGGATGATGACGATGACGATGACGACGAGGATGAGGTTGAGGTTGAGGATGAGGATGAGGATGAGTTTGATGACGATGACGATGACGACGATGATGATGATGATGACGACGAGGATGAGGTTGAGGTTGAGTTTGAGGTTGAGGATGAGGGTGAGGATGAGGATCAAGATGATCATGATGATGATGTGAATGATGATGATGATGATGATGATGATGATGATGATGATGATGGGATGATGGGATGATGGGATGATGGGATGATGGGATGATGGGATGATGGGATGATGGGATGATGGGATGATGGGATGATGATGACGACGATGATGACGATGATGATGATGATGACGACGATGACGATGATGACAATGATGACGACGAGGATGAGGTTGAGGTTGAAGTTGAGGTTGAGGTTGAGGATGAGGATGATGATGATGATGATGATGATGATGATGATGATGGGATGGTCGGGATCTCTTCTCCCTCTTGTGACACCCAATGGCTGTTCCTTGCCGAGGCCAGCAGCGAGCCACCGATTCGGCATCCAGGGCGAGTTCTGTCGGAGGTTTGTTCGATCACTGCAGAGTCCTGCAGCCAGACGCAGTGTTGCCAGCAGCGCTTCGACAAGTGCTTTGAGAGGACCATGTAATAGAGTCCGCTGATTGGCTGAAATAAAGTATTGACAAATACAAACAAATAGTAACTATATGATTGACAAGAAAGATGACTGAGGTTCAAATATGTGACGCTTGAAAACGGTGGTACTATAGAATAGAGCATGGAACAAGAGTTGGACATGTTGCCCTAGCTCATTTCAGCCTACGCCTGGTCGAACCTTGTGGGGTGAAGAGGGAATGATCACGGCAGGAGCCCTGGTCATCACGTTTGCAGCGCGAGCTGTAGCTTGGCTGCAGTCAAGGCCCACTTGGGATCACGGACGTCTTCGCAAGTCACCGACGGAGTGACACGTGTCCTGCTGTGATGGTGTCTTGCTGCTCAGAAGCATCTTTGATTTGAGTGAGTCCCATCCCCACTGAGAATTTAAGCATCAAACATATTGGATGTTCACTTGAGGTGAAAAGAGCCGACAAGAGGGTATACGTACATTATACTTATTCACAAAACACAACTGTGGTCTTTTCAGCCCATTTTTGATCATATTTGCCCATGGCAGAAGAGGTGACATAAACAATCCAGATGTTCAACTGTTCTTGCTTTTAATTTTAGTTCTCAAAGGCTGTGATGAACTTTGAACATCCAAGAGCAATCCGGACTTCCTTTGCATCACGGAAACCTTTCCTTCCTAAACCGAACTGTATGGCATGGTACGCTGGGCTGGGCGTCGAAGCGCCAGTGCAACAGCACTGGACATGTTTGTGATTGATTTGCTTGCGGTGCAGCGGGAAATATGCAGGATTGATGTGGTCAGGATGACAGGAGACTGCTGTGCCGTTGAACAACAAGCAAATCCCACCGCCTGCCCACTGTCGGAAAAGGGAACCCAAGTGCCGATTGAACACGCAGCAGGCTTGGTTGCCACATGGCCTCATTCCAACAGCCTTGTGGAGCAATTTTGTGCTGTTTTGGGGGTTGACAGTGTAGGAGCGGGCATAGAATGGGTTGAGGGAAGATTTCCACTTGAGCAACCTAAAGGTTCAGTGAAACGCGCGGCCCACCGCCCAGGTTCACCCGACGAGTGGAGCTGCAAGGCGAGGTGTGGACAGGGCGGTGGGAGCCAGTAAAGAAGTGCACATCAAATATGCCAGCAATCAACGAGCTGTTGAGCTCTCAAGCTCCAAAAGGAATCGGACAGGGAATTTGTAACATCGAGCTGTTGTTAAGAGCTTGCATTGCTTTCTTCTGCCTGCGATTTTTGCAGGTGCCCTTTGCACACCCTTTGGCCGTGGCGCGGCAGACCGAGCAATGGCCTGACGTGGTGGCTGTGTGTGGTTCGGGCATTGCGCTGGTGGACCCTCAGGCATTTACACAGACCCTTAGCAGCCTTGGCGGGTCGCTCGGGCGAGTCGGCGAACAGGCCAACAACTCGGGGACAGTGCGAACAGAGCTCCTGTGTTTGGGTTTACAAGGCTAATTTGAAGATTGCATAAGAAAGATATGACTTCCAAGTAGCTCTCAAGACTAGCTCTCGGACTGGTGCAATCAAGAATAAAGAACAGTAACGATTTGGAACAGATGTCGAGTGTATTGGCCATACTGGTCGTTGGTGCATGATGAAGACTGTGTGGAAGGCCAGAACCATCATTCTGACATATTTAAATTGATTTTAAAGCTGAAAAAGACCTAGCGGCAACAGCGATTCTGACCTTTTTCCCTTGCAAGCACCCCAGATTGCAGTTGGGTTTGTCCAACAGGGTGAAGCCTTCTGAACGTTTCAGGAAGTACAACAACAAGTGTGAGGACTTTTGCAAAGCAGCCGGAGAGGTGATTAATGAGTCCCTTGGATAAAGATGGTGATAGTTCTGAATTTTGTGCCCGAGCATTTGGTCAAAGAGTGTTTAGCACTTGGGCCGGAGTTCCTTTTTAGTTTCTTTGTGAGGTCCACAGTTCAATTCCTGTAAACATCTTTTGACTTTGGCATCTGTGCCGCAGGCCCACGATGTTTGCCGTCACAGGGCTCGGATATGGAGAGATTGGGAACTGTCGAGGAGATAAGGCAGACAGCTACAAAGGAGCTGTTTGCGAATGCAGTATGCAAGATCGGCTCTAAGCTCGAGGTGGCCCAGCTGAGTATGTGTGCACTACACTCGGCTGGTCCAGCCTCTCATGTACAGCGCGCGTTTCGGCATTGCCAATGCACCCGGGGTGAGACGTGTGTGGCCAGAAGTGCCAACTCGCCCGGATTTGCTCTAAAGAGGGTGGGTGTGAAGCACAGTGCTTGATTCATCCGTGGAAACCGCCGCAGAATCTGGTCACCCTCGAGTCCTAGTACAATTTAGAAGATAAACATGGTGCTGTTGTAAGTTGGGAAAGTCTAAGCGCTGGGACCAGCAGACTTGCCATGGGGGCATGTGCCTTCATGTGTCTGGCGGCACGCAAACCACCAGTGGAGCTTCAATTCTTCTGATACAAATTGTATCAAACTATCGGAGACGAATGTCGGAACTGCCACCCTCACCCCGCTCCAGTTTGATGAAGTTGGCGTTGACTTCGTGTGTCTCTGAGCCACCTCACCTGGTTTCGTAGGAATGGGAGGATAGGATAAGCATCGTCCATGCCACCCACCCTTCCAATGAACTGGATGCTTGAAATCAGGGTTGTATGGCATCCCATGATCCGTCTCAGAAAAGTCCAGCAGTACGTATGTTTAAAGTCCCATGTGCGTTTGTTCTATTTATTCTAAATTTGGGCGTGGTAAGATGCACAAGTTGATGTTCTGTTTTGAGCAAAGCTTGTGGTGTCCCAAGTTCGTCGGCCAGCGAGCAGTGCCCAGAAGCCACGCCCCATGGCACAACAGATCCCAGAAAGCCGCTCCAGCCCTTCTCTCCTGTAAAGGCTTTGAATAGGATCCGTCGTTTTCGGGTCCTGTGTTTGTATTCCTTCTTGAGGTGTTCAATTTCTCGAGCTTTGTAAAGACCATCAGTGGGAGAAGGTGAAGAAGATCCTGTCTGAGCGGCCGAACCTGGTGAACTGCGACGCTAGGCCCGCTAGGCTGTTTGGAGTTACTTAATGTTTCTTTTTCCTGCTGACAAGATCGCCTCAGCGCCGTTTTGGAGCTAAGGGCCCAGATCAAAGCATAGTCACGGTCAATTTATGTCAAAGTCATTTCGATAAAGGAAACAATTTGCAGATTTGACGTGAGGTTGTAGATGATGCATCGTAGTGAGCGAGCTCCCACTAGCGATTGTTGGGCAGTCAGCCTCCCAAAGACTGAGGAAGTTGAAGGACGCTGGTCGGCTCTCCACTATGCAGCGAGATGCTCGACAGAGCTGAGCGCGGGTTTCTCCAAGTTCATAGGGTTCAACTCCTGCAAGTTGGACAAGGTGACAAGCTCCTTAGGCTTGAAGCAACAATCAGACCAACAGTTGTTCTCGATTGTTGGGTAACGTTGAATGCCCTTCTGCTACAGGAACGCTATGGGCTTTGGACAGTTCAATTCCTGGTTATGATTTGGACAACAGGGGTCAGCTCAACAGGGGTTAGCTTCTTCATATACACATATATTATGATACCGTACACATTATACAATGATACACAGTAGAATACTGTAGATCAGTGCATTTTCCACACTGGGTCTTCTCGTTTTTGGGCAAGGAGCTGGTCATCCACAGATGGTGCAGTTCCTGCTGGACCTCAGCGCTGACGCTACCAGCTTTGCCGGTGATGGCAAGACTCCCTTGGAGGTTGGTATGTCCCGGTGCAACGGCAGAGTTGCCAAAGATTTTTAGTTTTTAGTTTATTCATTTATTGACCCTTGACATGACATCAGGTTATAAACTAACGGTCTGAGAGTTGAAGCAGACCAAAGCCACGGACTTTCTTTTGAGGGCCAGGTCAGATTCAGCAAAAACATATGTTGCAGTTGTTCCTACTTTGTGGCTGGCGACACTTGTTTCCTAGTCCTAGCCTGGTACTGTGTCAACTAGTTTCTGAGGCCTGGGAAAAGGAACCTGTTTGGCTTTGCGGCAGGTGGCCAAGGAGCACGACATTCGAAGTCTGCTGCCACGTGGACTGAAGAGCCAACTCGATGTTTTGTTGCGCCGCTGCAAATTTTAGTGTACTTACTGTATCTGGTGTGGTAGCTTTCGCAAGGCGACAGGCCCAGTGCACCTGTCCTCGTCGTTTTTTTGTTGGCCTGCAGAATCGAGAAGTCTTGATTCAATGCGACTCTTCCGCCCAGGATGCGTTCCTCCTTTCTGCAGCCGGCCATGACCATCTTCGAGCACTACGTGCCCTAGCTGCGCACAGAAACGATCTGAGGTGTTCAACGATCCATGATTCATCCTGTCTTCGGCAGGAACAGTCGAGTTTGAGCTTTTTGATCTTTCTGTTATCCCGCTCCTTTCCTTTTTGGCTGTTAGTGTTGACAAAAAAGAAGCTGACTGCCTCACTGTATCCGTTCCGAGGATGCTGAAGGGACTGGCGCCATTGATGGGATGGAGCTGGGCTGGGTTTCGTGACTGCAGGGATGTGATTGGATTTGAGTGCAAGTGGAGAATCTCCTGAGGATAGAAAATGATAGACACCACCGTAGGGGCAGAGAACCTCCCTGTTTGAGGGCTGTGAACCTTCATGTTTAACAAGTTCTCCACATGTAGGCCTTAGGCCGCAGGCAGTAGTTTCTTTTGTCATTGGTTGACACCGAAGCATGCCATCCCATTGGACCGGGCACTGCATGGCTGAGGTGATCAAATCGGTGCAGCCGGAGCTCTCGGATGCCGAGGTGCAGGAGATGTTCGCAAGTCCCTTGGAGACGGCGATGATGTGGAAATTGGATTGCATGCAGAGGATAGCAGGATAGGTGTTTGATGGTGCTTGGATGTGTTTGCGGTTTATTGGATTTTGAACAGGGGAATAAGGACAATGGATGATTTACTCGAAGACTACGGAGATCCATGAATCGGGGAAAGACAAAAAATCGGGGCCACTACAAGTTTTGCCAGACTCTGTTTCACAGCACTATTGGAGCCTGTTTTTGGCTTCATCGCGTGAGCTTTTTGAGCCTTCTATTCCTCGAGGCTGTGACACCAATCACAACGGTGAGATTGACTTCATCGAGTTTGTGATGTGGTTGCCTCTTGGTCGTTTGCACACGACTGACTACTCATTCCGAGCGGAGTTTGCTGGCGAGTGGGGGCCATGGGATCATGACACTTGTTGAGAGATGTTGAGAGTAAGAGTGAAGGGATTCCTGAAATCATCCACATGTCCAATGCGAAAGAGATCACAAGTCACAAGAGAGATTGGTTTACAATCAGCAAGGCCAAGTCTTTCTTGGAACACTCGTGTGCCTGACAAACCGACAAACCTTTATTTTTCAGCTGACATCCCATTCCTGGAAATTGGCCTCCAAGAGGTTGCGGCGGTTTCCCAAGGTCCCAGGGCTGTGTTTCGCCGAATCGGCCGCATTTAGGACTTAATGCCGAAGCCTTCACACTTACCACGCTTGCCATGTGGATCACGAGGTTTGCTGGGCGTGGCAAGACCTTTGCACAGGCGGGGCAGTGATTGACTCCAACTTTGCACGCTGCACACGCTCTGATGGTAGTGCATGTAGCTGCAAAGTGATGGCTGAACTGTCATGGAGTCGGTCCATCGGTCGGCCGTCCAGGACATTTTGGCCAGTGCGAAGAACTTGAGCAGTAGCAGTGGGGTGATCTGGTCCGCAAGTGAGGGTTGATCTCGCCGCAAGAGATCGCTCGCATGAGATCGCTCCGCAAGAGATCGCTCCAACAGCCCAAGAAAGACAGAAACGAGTAGTCAACCAATGGGTCTTGGAGTCTCAGAGTCACCCTTGAATCCTCACAGGTTGGAAAGCGTGCTATGCAGCTGAAAGCAGTGTTGGCTGCCCGCGCTGGCCTGGATCCATCTGTATATACGCAGCCTGGACAAAGCTAGTTGGAATGGGCAAATCCACATCACCTAGTCACCTAGCCGCTAGCCGCTTGCTTTCGTGCCCTCAAAGCTGACAAACTGACAACGCAATTCGGTCTTCAGTTTTGGATTGCTTCCTCTTCGGTGTTGCCGTTCGGAGCTGCCCTTCCTCTCAGGAATCCGGACTTCGCCTCCATGCCGAAGATGGCCCACCATCCACCGCGGGACCCGCATCTCATACTTCGATACCCATGGTCATCCGTCAATCCAGCCAGCTTAGATGGTCAATGTTTGTACAACGTTTGTACAACGGCTTGGCATATTTGGGCGGGTTTTTTCACATGGTGCTTTACAAAAGAGACAAGACCTAGATTGTGCATATTGCACCGGGATGTGTAACAAGGCTCTAAGGGACTTCTCCATGAAGCTGTATATAGACTTGCCAAGGATTCGATTTTAGGATGTTTTAGGATTTTAGGCTTCAATGGTTGGAGGCCATCGCCAGTAGTTTTGGGTTCAGGACGAAAAGTTGCTGAGCTGCGTTGAGTACGTGGAACTGATCCTCGGTTGGATTCCAGGCATCGGGTCTTTGACAACAAGTGTACCGTATACACATTGAGGTGGGGTCAAAAAAAGTGTAGACTAAGAACATCCTTAGCATAATAAATACTGTAATTGATTTTGACCGTGGCTCATATGTATACACCATTATACACCGTTGATTTCCGGCGAAGGATTCCATGGGACCTCAGGGACGGCTCTCAGACCTGGCATTTGCCCTTCGAACACAGCACCACCGGCTGCTTCAAACACGTGCACTGATGTGCAGGCCTTGCTTTGGTGGATGAGACCATGAAGGAGGCCCTTCTCCAAGGAGGATGAACCCATCATTTGTTGCATGTGACAGCTTCGCACACAATTGAACAGTGGCAATCAAAAGATGCTACAGGTGCACTACCTCCATATCCTCGAACGACTTGAACTTCCCCAAAAAATAGTTAGCGCACAGACTGTGCAGCAAATGGGGCTCTTCCAGCGCCCCCCTTCGGGTTTTTAAGCACCAGCTTGCAGGTCCAGCGGATTGCTGATCAGAGGAATGAGTCCTCACAAGGCATCGAGATGCAGCATCCGGAGCGACTCAGATGCATGCAGTTGGCGGTGTTTGTGGGTCTCGGGTGCTTTCTAGTGATATGATATTTGATACTATATATATATGATACATTGTAACATATATTATTGTATTATATAGATATTATATATATATATATATTACAGTATATTATAGTATATTATATGTAGTAGCCTCTTCGTCATCTTCAACCTTCTGTGGTCCTTTCACGTCATCACGTTGGGAGAAGATACAAAGTGGAATGATGGGGTCGAAGACCGACTTTGCACCTGCAAAGAGACTTGATTGGAGATACCATGAGATACCTATTATTTTTTGGATTTGATAGTATTACAAAAGTTTCAACAGACGTGCCAGGCGCTTGTAGACATTTTGTAGACTGGGGTTCTATTGCAATGATCGAAGGGCAGCCATGGCGACAAAGCTCCATGGCCAGCTTGTGGTGTCCAACAATCAACCAGGGATCATCGGGGTTTAGGGTTAGTGCAAGGTTAGTTGTGTTGGGTACAAAGAAACGCCAAGGATTCACTGAGTTCCCCCACAAACTTTCAGAAGGCGCTCAATCCATCTCAATTCCGCGTAAATTCCAATGTGTGAGTTTTCGGCACGAAACCTTCGAGACGATCGATCGATGCTGATGTGTTTTCACTTGTGGTTGTGCGCTCAAGCAAGGGCGGGCGCGCGCATAGCTAGAGCCAATTCGGATACGCCTTCGGAAAATCATGTGCGCTTGAGAGGTGCATTTCGGTTCCTGAACTTCGTGTGTCAAGGGATCATTTGTTGTTGGTGGCGCGGAGCCTTTTGTGCATTGGTTGGTTGCACATTGTACATTGAGCAACATTGTCATTGCTTGCGATTTGATCGTTGGTTGAGTTGATTGCATTGACATTGGTTGCTGTCGGTCGTACATTGTGCATTGATGGCCACAGGGACTGCAGCGCAAGGCAGTGGGTCGGCTTCGACTGCTTATGTTGGAAAAGCTCACGAGAATGTTCCTGAGTTTTCTGGCAAGTCGAGCGACTACAAGGAGTACAGGAAGAGGTTGCTCCTGTACGAGAAGAAGATGAGTTTGGCCGGCAGGTCCTCAGAGACCAGTTTCAATGTGCTGGTGACATTGAAGGGTCGTGCATGGGATGCATGTGAGGACATCTCCATGTCAGATCTTGAAGGGTCCACCGCCATGCAGAAGATTTTGGAACGGTTGGATAAGGTCTTCAAGTTCGACGCGATCACGGAGCTTCCTGGAGATTTTGAAGCATTTTTCTGCACGTTGCATAGAAAGAAGAACTCGACGTTGCAAGAATATGCTGGTGACTTTGAACGAGCATTGAGGAAATTGGAAGCCCACAATGTCACATTGCCAGATAAGGTTGTTGGCTGGTATTTTATGAGGAGAGCTGGACTGACCCAACAGCAGAGACAGTTGATCATGAGTGCATTGGGCACTGAGACATTGTCGCTGGACACGGTTCGCAAGGCTATGAACTTTGTCATTGGGCAGGACAGTACACCTGAAGGTCATTCGACCTATTCCACCAAGGCCTCAAGTCGTTGGCGTGCGCCATACAAAGAAGCTGTTTACTATGGTGAAGAAGACGAAAGCTTTGATTTTGAGTATGGTGAAGATGCTGACGAGGACCCAGATTGCTTTTGGGCCGATGATGGTGGTGATGACGGAGAAGAAGAAGATGGCGATGATGAGATTCATGCAGTGAATGATGACCTTGCTGCAGAATACGATGAAGTCCTAGCTGGATATACCGAAGCCCGACAACGACTGAATCAGATGAGGATGAGCAGAGGATACTACCCGGTCGTTGCAATGATTCCAGAACAAGCTTCATCCAGTGGCAAGGGCAGTTTTTCATCGCCCAAAGGCAAGAGCAAGAGCAAAGGCAAGGGCAAGAGTCATGCTGGAAAAGGTGGAAAGCAGAATCCACGACCTCCACCTCAGCCAAAAGCCCGTGGCCGTGCAGCTCTTGGTGCAGAACGTTGCTTGCGTTGTGGTCAGGCTGGACATCGAGCCAAAGCGTGCCCCGTTGCTGGCAAGAGAAAAGCGGAGACAGATGCTGACATCAACATGGTTGCTCCATTCGAGTCCGATGAGCCAGATTCCATTCAGCTGGCAGTTGAGGAGAATGGCATTGTGTCCCATGACATCGCCATGATGGACTGTGGAGCAGGTTCAGTGTTGACCTCAGAGGGAAGACTTCGAAAGTACCTCGAGATGTTGATGGCAGCAGGGTTCAATTTGAGCCAGATACAAGTCTTCCGTTGCAAGAAAGGCTTCAGGTTTGGCAATGGAGAGAAGAATATCACTTCTGTTTGCTTGCTTGTTCCCACGTTCATGGAGGGCCGCCGCCGTGACATTTTGATGTATGTCATTCCAGGTGATGCACCATTCTTGTTTGGACGCCCAATCATGGAGGCATTGGACATCACCATTTCCTACTCGGCAGGCAAGATCAAGTGGGGCCGCAAGGCATGGAAGAAGTGTGCTCGTGGCACTCGAGGCGAATTCATTTGCCACATGGCCTCAGATGTGTCAAGGTTGCTTGAGACGAAGCCTTCCAGCATCCTGCTCCCAGATGACTTTGAGCAACATGTTCACCCAGAGCCACTGTCCACCCAGATTTTCTTTGATGGTCAGGTGCAGTCGATGCTCAACGTGAGCGAGGACTCGGTGAACAGTGTCATTGATGAGCAGGAGAATTCAAGTTTCACATCAGTGACTACCATTTTGGAGTCACAACATTCAAGTTTCACATCAGTGACTACCACTTTGGAGTCACAACAGAGTCCATCGGCTTGTGAGAAGAGTGGACCACCTCCTGAAGACGCAGGGGCACAGCTGATGACGAGCCTTCAATGCAGTGAGATCACGATGGATCTCGAGTCAGATGATGACGTTGTGGTGACAGAAGAGTTGAGTTGCGATCCAAGGGCAAAACCAGATGAACATGAAGCTGCTTGCTCTCCATCCTCCACGCCAGAAGACCGTGAAGTCTTCCAGAAGCTGCCATCCGGCAAGCTTCGACAGCTCATGCATGACACCGAGCGGAGGATCAAAGAGTTTGAAGATGTTCTCAAAGCCTCTCCACTACGGGACTATGACCGCAAGTATGTCCTGTGGGAAGTGTTTGCTGGAGAAGGTCGTGTGAGCAAGACAGCTGCAAGGCGACAGAACATGCAGAGTGAACGTTTCTCATTGAGTGATGGTTGGGATTTTGCTCAGGCCTCCCACAGAATGGCATTTCTTCGTCGTTTGAAGTCTGAGGAGCCAGATTGTGTGTTGATCTCCCCTATGTGCAAGCTATGGAGCAGTCTGCAAGAGCTCACGTGTGCAGCTCATGAAGGCTATGCTGAAACCCTGGACATTGCGCGACAGTGGGACCACGACAACATCCTCATGTTTTGTTCAGTGATTTTTGAGCATCAGAGGAGGAAAGGCAAGCTGGCGTTGTGTGAACATCCCAAACGTTCACGCGCTTGGGCGACTCCAGCATTCCAAGCGATGAATGGGCATGATGCTCATGTGGATCAGTGCATGTTTGGTCTGCGCCTTCTCAATGATCACAATGAGATGCTGCCAGTTCAGAAGCCCACGACATTTCGAACCGCCAGAGCATCCTTGTCAGAGAGGATCAGCAAGCATTGTGATGGAACACACTCACACACTCACTTGGAAGGCAGTATTCCTGGTGTTGGTTTGCGTTCCTGGCTTGCAGAGAGTTATCCTCAGGCATTGGCCAGTCACCTCGTGAATGCTATCATTGCTGAGCTTGAATCTGATGACATCTTTGCTGTCGAGGATATGCCATCAGCTCAACAAGAGATTGCGGACTACATGGCTGGTCGCCATCAAGGAGCTGAACGTTTTGTCAGTGAGCCTCAGGCAGCAGATCCCAAAGATGACAAGAGAGCAGTAGCACTCGAGTCTGAAGAGTTGATAGCTTGGATCCAGCGCGAAAGAACAGAATCCTACGATCCCAGGTTGGACCTCGCGCTGTTGAGTATGTGCAACGGTTGCACAAGAACCTTGGCCATCCAGGTTGGGAAGTTCTTCATCGCATGCTGAAGGAGATTCAAGCAACAGATAATGTTCTTCAGGCTGCAAAGTTTTACACATGTCCGTTGTGCTATGCTCGCAAGCCTCCAAAGGCCAATCCACCTGCAAGTGGGCTGAAGTGTACTGAGTTCAATGAAAGGATCCTCGTTGATAGTCACTGGATTGCATGTGAAGACAGCATGGTGAAAGAACGAGTTCCTGCACCAGGTACACCAGCAGCTCGTCGCAGAGAGAAGGACAAGAAGGAGAAAAGGCCAACAGGTCGACAGTGCGTGTTGACAATCATCGACCATGCCACCAGATATTGTGCAGTTCGGATCCTACAATCTGAGCGCGCTGATGAGTTCACAAAAGGTCTTGAGCGTGCTTGGGTGAAGCATTTTGGAGTTCCGAAGATTCTGCGCATTGACGAGGCAAAAGGTTGGTCGAGTCAGCATGTCAGAGAATGGGCCACACAGCGTGGTGTGACGCTGGAAGTGCAACCTGCTGAGAATCATAGCTGGCTTGGTGTTGTTGAGAGGAAGCATCAAGTTGTCCGACGAGCGTTGGAATTGTTTATGGATCAGTGCGACAGTCATGATCTCAAGTCGTTGAAGAAGGCCGCACTGTATGTTCCTCATTCAATCAACCAGCTCAGCTTTCATCGTGGGTTCACTCCTCAGCAGTGGGTTCTTGGCAAATCCATGACCTATGTTCACGGTCTCAGTGGAGAGTTTTTCAATCCTGCACAAGAGGCCATTGATGAACAGGGCAATTTCGCTCAGATCCAGGCCAGACGGACAGAAGCTGCAAAAGCTTTCATTGCAGCAGATTCAGATGCCAAGTTGCGCCGAGCCTTCACTCAGAAGTTTGCTGAAATGCAAGAGGAGCTTGTGATTGGTCAAAAGGTTTGGTATTGGCGCAAGCATCAACGAAGGCTGCAAAAGTCCGGTTGGCGTGGTCCTGCAAGGATTGTTGCAATAGAAGAGCAGCCAAGTGTCAATGTGTATTGGCTTTGTCATGGCACATCGTTGTTACGTTGTGGTGCACGACAGGTGAGGCCAATGGTTGAAGACACTGGAATGCCGGTTGCATGTGATCGGCAAGCAGCCCTTCGTGACTTGCAAGAGTTGAAAGCCAGGAGCGCCACACAGTTCAAGGATGAACTTCGACGCAGTGGCCAGATCGACGAAGCGGATGAGCTTGACGGAGATGATGTTGAGCTTGATGCAGAGTATACACCTTCATTGCCAGGAAGTGTTGATGAAGCAGAAGACCCTCGTTCAGATGATGATGCATCAACTGGCAATGCAAAAGAGACAGAAGAGCCCAATGTTCCTGGAGTGATTAGTGTTTTCCTTCCAAGGTTGCAGGCAGAAGATCGAGAGAGAACACCCCGACGTCGTGAGTCGGTGACTACTGCAGCCCCAACAGAGATGGAAGATGATACAGCACATGCTCCAGCTCCATCGAGTCCAAAGAGGAAGTCAGAAAATGTTGCTTCTGAAGAGCCGCCGGGAAAAGCCATCAGGGCATCCAGTTCAGTGCCTGAGTTTCCTGGCGATCTTGGAGGAGGAAGCATCCCCGTGCCGGACGATGATGATCTGGTGATAGAAGATGTTTTTCTGACACAGCTTCCTGAAGATGTTCCATCAGGATGGCGAATTGTTGATGGTGAACTTGAGATGGACGATGTCTTGATGGCCGCAATTCGCAAAGGTGAGGTCAATGAACGGAAGCTGGATCCTCAGGGCCGAGCTCAGTTTGTTGAGGGCAAACGCAAAGAGCTTGATCAATATTTTAGCAATGCAGTATGGCAGTTTGCAACGACAAGTGAGATTGAAAGTGCCATCAGAACAAAACGTGTGATTTCTGCTCGCTGGGTTCTTACCTGGAAGAAGTTGGAGACAGAAGATGGCATCACCCGTTGGAAGGCCAAGGCCAGATTGGTTTTGCGAGGATTTCAAGATCCTGACATCTTGAACATGAAGACCGCAAGCCCAACTGCCGGTCGAACCAGTCGAACTATGTTGCTGACAGTAGCTGTTTGGATGGAATGGTCAGTGTTTTGTGCTGATGTTCAGGCGGCTTTCTTGTCTGGCAAAGGTTTTGACAGGGTGCTCATTGTCAGGCTGCCAATGGATTGTTTGCCGTTGGTCGATGGAGGACAGCAGAAAGTGTACAAGAAGCACTTGTACATGAAGATGAAGAAGAGTGCGTACGGCTTGTGCGACGCACCGCTGCTATGGTTCCAAGAAGCTGCTTCTAGGCTGACAAAGCGTGGTTGGTTGAGCCACCCACTAGATCAGTGCTGCTTCGTGTTGCCATCCAGCAAGGATCAGAGCTTGACAGGCATGTTGATTTTACATGTTGATGACATGTTGCTGGCTGGAAGCATGCAAGATGCTGAATTTGCACAGGCAGTTGAGTTCCTTCGCAAAGATTTCAATTTTGGCAAATGGGACGAGTTGTCAGAAGATCAGTCGTTGAAGTACTGCGGAGGAACAATCCTGAGGAATCAGCATGGCATTGAGGTCAGCTACGAAGAGTATATCAAGAAGCTCTGTCCGATGACCATCCATAAAGGTCGAAAAGATGAAGACAGTGTGACACCACAAGAGGTCAGTGCAGCTCGTGGCCTCATAGGAGCACTACAGTGGCCTGCAACCCAGGGCATGCCGATCTTGTGCGCTTCGATGAGCATTCAGGCCGGTGAAGTTCCAAAGGGCAAGGTGCTGCATCTTCGTGAGTTGAACAAGACATTGCGTTTTGCAAAGTCGAATGCAGCAGTTACATTGAAGTTTCTTGGTTGCCCAGCTGGTGAGAAGAAGCGTGGTCAGGCTAAAAGTCTGAGTGATTTGTGCCTGGTTTGCTATGCAGATGCTGCATTCAGCGTGAGGTCAGATCATACCTCGCAAGGAGGATTCATGATTTTGGCTTGAGAAAGGAGTCTTGCAGGGCCAGAAGCGGCCAGCATCCATTGTTGCTTGGAGGTCGTTCAAAGTCCCCAGAGTTTGCAGGAGCTCTTTAGCCGCTGAGTGTCAGGCATGCGCCACAGCCTTGGAGGAGCTCCTCATGGTCAAGACATTTACAGAATGTCTTCGAAGGCCTGGTGTCGCTTTGAAGGACATCAAGGACAGCCTTTCAGGTGAGTCAGCCATGGTGACAGATTGCAAAGCACTCTTTGACGCTGTGCATCGTGAAACGATTCAGCAAGCAGCAGACAAACGTGTTGCAATAGAAGGCTTGGTGATCAAAAGTTTGCTGGCAGATTTACATTGTCAGTGGCGTTGGGTTTCAAGTGAACGCCAATTGTCAGATGGCTTGACAAAGGTTGGAGCTCGACAGAACTTTGTTGAACGATACCGTGGTAGCCACATACAGTTGGTTGCTGATGAAGGATTCGTTGCTGCAAAGAAGAAGTCAAAGGAGGAGCGAGCAAAGACGATCCGTGAGACTCGCACCACACGTTCTGACATAGCGCAGAGTTTGATTGCGCTGATCATGGCAGATGAGGTGACGAAGGCCGCTGCATCCACTCATGATGACTGGAGTTTCGGTAGCTTTGAGGCCCTCATTGTGTCGAGCATTGTTGGAGCATTGACATTGTTGTGGTTCCTTGGTCGGCTCGTGTTTTCGTGTTGCCCCACCAGAGGTGAGACGCAGTCCAAGGCAGATGAAGAGATCGCCCGACTCAAGCTGGAACTCCATGAGCTTGAGGATGAAATGGAGCGAGAGCGTGAAAGCATCTTGAAGGATCTGGAGAGAGAAGAAAAGAAGAACCATGATTTGAGACAGGAAAACCTCCGGCTTCAAGGTGAGCTGATGTTGGCGAATGAAGCAGTGCAGCTGTTGAGGACTGGTGCTGTTTCAGGACCTGCAGTCATGACAGCTCCAGGGCCGATCTACGTGACTCCCTCCGGTGAATGCTGGCATCGAACTCGCGCATGTGGTGGGTCGAACAGTGTCTGCAAAAGACCATGCAACAGGTGCAATCCTGGCTAAGCTCCCACCGATGTGAGTTTTCGGCACGAAACCTTCGAGACGATCGATCGATGCTGATGTGTTTTCACTTGTGGTTGTGCGCTCAAGCAAGGGCGGGCGCGCGCATAGCTAGAGCCAATTCGGATACGCCTTCGGAAAATCATGTGCGCTTGAGAGGTGCATTTCGGTTCCTGAACTTCGTGTGTCAAGGGATCATTTGTTGCAATGCAAAAGGGCTTTTCAGCGTGAAAGACTTTGGCGGGCAATCGGATCAAGTTCTCAGCAATTTCCATCACCAATCCTATCGCAGACACGAACGGCTGAAGTCGTGTCGACACGAGTCGTGTTCAGACACGAACGGATGAAGTGCCCTCCGAACGGATGAAGTCGCATGAAGTACCCTCCACCGTTCGGCTCCCCAGGATGGTTTGTGCCATCGTGATGTGGACCTTTGAGACTCGGTCACGCGTGCGTCGCACCGGTCACTGAGTCATGTCGCACGCGGCGCGACGCACGCGACGGAGTCCAAGGACGAGGGGCGGGGGATGACGGATCGACGTCAGGCATGTGTCGGGCGCTGAGGACCCCGTTCTCATCACGGGCGACCAGACATATCCCAAGGAGATGGGCTTCAGTGGGGAGTGGCCATGTTTGCTCATGGCAAACCAATGAAGCATTGCAGTGATGCCTATTGAAGGCAAACATGGGATTGGGAGGTGCAACGCTTGGATGAGGCAGTGCAATTGCTGGGTATTGACGCTCCCCCCCAACACCCATCAGGGTCCATTTGCGGAAAGTTGATGGATTTCATCAAATTTTCCATTTCTAGGCTCTTGCTGCAGCGGTCTTTCCAGAAAACAACTCGTCATCTCTTCCCCTACCACCAAAAGTTCAAGGAGCAAGACCTCAACACAACCCAGTTCAACGGTGAAAGACCTCCCGAAGAACTGGATCTACCAGGGAGTTCCACCATGGATTCCGCGGGTGTCCATTCATAGCCCCGAAAAGAGGTTAGTCGGGGCGGTCCATGAACCACCCCGACTCCTGCTGCATGTTTGCTGCAGTGATCCTGTTTGCACTCCGCAAGGAGCAAACCTTCCAACATTTGGTGAACAGGCTCGTGGACCAGCGCGACACAGAGTTCTTCTATGCCAGCAGAGGGTGCATTGGCTTTCCAAGATGTCTTTGGGAAGGACCTGGCAAATGACTTTCTTCAGTGTGGTTAACCATCGGCTCCTAAATCCTTTCTCACGCGATTCCTTTCTGGTCTCCGTTCAATACAAAGTTCGTTTGCCACATTTCCCTGTGGAGGTCTGCACACCAAGACTAGAATGCAAGATTGACGGCACGTTTTGCAGCTTCGCGCGACGATAGGACCTGGTGGTGTTGTCCCCACGAAGTTTGACCATGGTTAGACTATCCCAAAAACCATTAAAACGATCAGAACAGATTCAACTCTGCAGCTGTATTGTTCAAGCCTTTGCCTTTGGAGGTTTCCAGATTGATTTTTTTCAGTTGCAGCTGGCACTGTCACCCCTGGTCTCTTTGCAGTGTAGATTTTGGAGCTGAGCATTGCTGAGGTTCTTCTACTACTTCATGACTGCTCTTGACAAGCTTCCTCCTGCTAGCGGTATGGTTTACCAAGGCGTGCATACATTAGGGAGGGAAGTAATTCCTTGGCACTCGGCAGGACTGTCCAAATGTTTGATGCTATTGCACTCGGCACAGACAACTTCAAGCGTGAGACCTGTGCCATTTTGTAGCATGAGAAGACCATGATGACATACGAGGACTATCAGTGGATCCTTTTGGCCAGGTATTCCCCGCAAGGACGTTACTGCAGCACGGGAGGCGAAATGTGTCAGTTGCACATTCAGCTGACGGTGACAATTGCTCAGGGTGTGTTTTGTCAGATGCTTGCACCTATTGCTCCATAGAAGTGGAGATGTCTCCCACCAGCGAAAATTATTCCCTGAGATTCTTCTTGTGGGACCCTACGGCCAGGCCTTGGTGGAAGGCACCACAGTGACGTGGCGCTCCTTCACTACAGCCTTGCAGCTGTGGGGGAACATGGTACACACCTGAGATTTCGCGAAACCTGAAACGAGAAGAACACCACAATCCCAACGGGAACAAGGCCTTTCCTTGCGAAACTGACGACACGGTCCCACGCGGCCAATCATAATCAGACCTCCATCCCCCGTTAACATCACTTGTCGCCTTTTGTGCTCCACCAGCTTGCATCATCTTGCATAATCTTGCATCTATTTGCTCCTCTACTCTCCCAACGAATACATCCTTTTCGTCTCCCTTTGGTACACTCCGAGCGTCCTCAGATCCCCTACGAGCGCGGCTTGGTCCTGCAGATCACCTTGCTGCCGCCGGAGCTGCGTGCCAAGGGCATGCGCTTCGAGTCGAAGGGCCGTCGCTTGGGATATGTTCAAGTGGCGGGATCATGCGGGATCCTGGATCCTATTACTAGCTGAGCTTCTTGTTACTACTAGTAAGGCACTTGTTACTAGTAGCGATGCACTTGTTACTAGTAGCGAACAATATACTAATATACTATAATCCTGGATCCTATTCCTTATTTTTCTTATTCATTTTCTCCTTAAGACAGATCTGTTCAATCTGTTCTTCCTTTGACTTCCTTGGGCCTATCGACATTTTGGACTGGACCTTTGCCTTCCATGATCTTCTCTGGTTTTCCTTTTGTATTCTCATACTTAAAGAGTTCAGCTTGTTTGGTGTGAGAAGAGGTGCGCCGAGATCCTTCAGCGACTGAGGAGACATCAGCAAACTCTCCGCCTTCTCGGGCTCCTGCGAAGTCCTCCTCATGCCAAACATGCGCATGCACGTTGGTGGGGAAGCACAGCTGCGGGACACAGCGGTTGATTCATGGCGGGGTTTCCGGTGATGTATGGTGACATGATGTGACATGGTGACGGGGATTGAAGGGCATTCAGGAGACAGGATAGCGAAGGACGGATGTATTATATGCGTGATATGCATGGCAGCTCAGAGCAAAGATATTATTGTTGTTGCATCTTTAAGCGTGGATGCCATGACACCGTCTTCAAATGCGGTTTGGACACGGTGAAGCATGGGCGACGCTGGTTAGGCCCTGCGAGACAAAATTCTTCGCAACTTGTGCCGTCACGAGGTCCAGAAGTGCAGAAGAAGGGCATCGCCGTGATCGAGCTGACAGAGTTGGAAGAAGAGCCTTGGTTGAGTTGAACATCGTTTAAGCATGTTTAACCCAAGTTGAGAATCTAAGAAGCGCAGGATGTAGAACAGGTGTGGTGGTCAAATGGGAACTGATGTGGAATGTCTCATATTCTCTGATTGCCGAGTTTGGGTCATCCATGATCATCCAGATCCGTGTTTCCTCTGTTCAGGCTTAGGATGGTTATGATGGTTTAGGTCCTTTTCCAAAGGTTCTAAACGTTCCCGGCATTTCGCCACGAAGAGTCAGACCTTGCCCATGGAAGATCTGCGGTTTGGAGAAGATCGATCCCAATCCCAATGATCCACTCTATGTTTAGCGCGCTCTGGAAACCTTAAGTAGGCGCCTAAGAAATAATCCTAAGAACGAAGTAAGGGAGTAAGCTAGCTACTGGGCTGCTTCTAGTAACTTGACGCAACAACAGCTGACGCTTCTTCAAGGAAGCTGCCCGGCCTGAGGGCGGGGGGGAGCTTCCTTGAAGAAGCGCTCGCACTAATGATTTGGTTCCAAGATTTTTGTGAAAACTTCAGATCACACCGCTTTGGTTTTCTGTACGACCTACCCAGCTCCCTGGACGAGGATACCGCTACCACACTGAACGCTGAAGACTTCGAGTGAGCTTCTTTGCTTCACGTCTTGGGGGGCTCTTTCCGCCGTCGACCGAAAAAGTGTGTCACCGGTTTGAGCTAGCCTCACAGAAGCTTGGCAGGTGGGGAAATTGGGTCCTAAACCATCAAACACCCTGTTTGCAGGCGAGGACTTTCCACCCTGTCGTGGTCGTCTTTAGAAGAAACAAGGTCGTTGTCGGTAGGAGCATTGATCACGAGGTTCCTGGACTTTGAAAGACAGGCTATCAGTTTGGTGCTTCCTTGGCCGTGGGACACTGCCCCATCATGACAACACTCGCTATTTCGGTTCACTGCATTTTGCTTAGTTAGTTGCATGTTGGCATGGACAGAGAGAGGTCCTGCAACAGTGCCTGGTGCGCTTTGAAGCCACAAAACTGCCATGGAAACTGACAGCGAAACTTCCAAGTCAAGCCAGCAGAGTTGCCAAACTGCGGAAGTCAAGGATGCCAGCCCGTTCTTATTCTTCTAGTTCCAACATGACAGGTGTAGGTGTGTGGCGTTGTCAAATTAGGAAACAAGATATGCAACATCAATTAACACATAACATTACTAATTGATAAGCACATTTGTTGCATAAAGCCTCCTCAAACGTGTCTTGCAAAGCGATTGACCCGCAGGAGCGGGTCTCCACTATCGAAGCAATGATCAACTTGGTGACAGTGATCATTGGCGCGGGGATCCTGGCATTGCCTCAATTGCCCAGAAGGTGTGGATGGGTTCTTTCGGCCCTGATGCTGCTGATCTCCTGCTCAGCAGTTCAGGAGGCTGCGCTTTGCCTCTGCCGAGCACTTATACAGACCAACTCCCAAGAGTCAAAGGCTGGGGTGAGCCAAAATGTCTTCCTGGGTCTAAGCACCCATCAGACATAACTAGTAAGTTATGTAAGTACAAGATTCTCAAATACAGTGGACATCGAAATATATCTATACACACATTGGACATATCCAAAAACTGATATAATCTGATAATATCGGATATACTATATGATATAATTTTGTATGTCAGATTATTATGATTATTTCAGATTGTATATTAAACTATATAATATACATGTTACCAATCAAATTTTATATGTGTTACACAGGATTGCATTCCTTAGTCCTTTTGATTCAATTTTGCCTCGCTGGCAGATCGTGTCATTCCAGGTGACTACCTTCGAGGCCTTGGGACACCGTGCGCTGGGATGGCAGGGACAGTTGGCCGTGGCCGTGGTGGCGAACACCTTCCTGCTGGGGGTTTGCTCAGCTTATGCGGCCTTGATTGGGATGCAACTCTACAACTTGACAGGCTGTGGGGATCTATGGGGATCTATGGGGCTGTGGCTGCCCATCGTTGTGTTTTTGTGTGGAGCTGTGTGGGCGTGCAGGCATGGCTAGGCTAGGCATGGCTATTTTGGCCATAGTCAAGGCATGTCAAGGCCATATCACAGAGAAAGTGAATGAATCTGGGACGAATTGGTTATCGAATTATGGTGGGGAGGTTGAACGGCCCATTGACAATACCACCATATCATCGAAGACCTACGTATATCCATGGGACCCTCAGATATCCTCAGGCCCAACAGGTGAGAACCTTGCTCAAGTATCATTGTTGCAACACCGCCGCAAGAAAAAACAATATAAATATATAATATTAACATTCGCCATGGTGATCATGGTCCATACCGTTTGCAGGTGTTTTCAATCAACGTGCTTGGGTCCTCATTGCATATCCGATCTTCGTTCTTCTTGGCACCTCGGCAGCACTGGTCGCTACAGCCTGCTTAGCGCTGGAGGTCAGGCTGTGCCCTTGGGAGGTACCGCAGGCGCTGGACCCCAAGTATTGAAATGTTTTAGCATTGCATTCTTCTGGTCACCTGGTCTGGAGATTTTTCAATGCCACATGTCATAGGGTGCATTAAAGGGCTGTTGACAGCCCTAGCTGTTGAAGAAGAAACCTGTCCACGACCGTTGAGAAGTCACTTCTTTGGCCCAAAAGAGGCTTGCTGCCCAATTTGTCGGCCTTGTCGAAGCTGGTGCCGCTGGGGATGCTGGCCGCGTGCTTGACAGGGCTTATGGTGATCTGGAGCTCCCTGCAGGACGTGGAGACCTGGCAGAGCTGGAAAACAGGAGACCTAGACATGGAGATCCACGACACGTGGCCATCGCAGCCCGCAGCCTTGGGCTCCGTCCCTCGCCAGGGTAATACCATGGTAAAACAAGTGCATCGCTATTAGTAACTAGAAGCTTCTAATTCTAATAGCTACTTGCTCCTAGTAGTAAGGCACTTGTTACTAGTAGCGATGCACTTGTTCCTAGTAGCACTTGTTGCAAAGTCCAATGGAGGATATGGAGAGTATGGTTTTTTGCTCGCCCGTGCTGGCTTCTGTGGTGTTGACTGGCTTCCAGTGACTTCTGACCACGGTTTGTGTGTTTTTCTGGGTGGGGAGGCGCATTCTGCCCTCCCTGCAATCCTCTCCTCTTGCGCCACGAAATTTGTAAACTCCCCGATTTCTTACCTGCCATGAAATCTGACTTTTGACGCCTGCACCTGCACCCCTTTTATGTTCCTTTTCTTTCACCTCAAACAAACAAACATCAATCTTCCAGGGAGCACTGCCGGGAACCTCCCACCCACCCACCCACCCCACAAAAAGAGTATCCCGCCCAAATCAGAAGCTACTAGGAGCAAGGACGCTACTAGGGGCTCCTGGCATCGCTACTAGGAACAAGAAGCTACTAGTAACAAAGGGCATCGCTACGAACGGAGCAAGGACGCTACGAACGGGGCTAGCTCGGGGTCCCAAACATGCGTGGCACCGGTCACAGACGGAACTGAGAGCCTTTTTTTGCGAGGCCTTGGCAACCTGCTGTGCAGCCTTCTCCTTTGTTCCGGTGGTTCCAGCCATCATCCGGGACATGAGAACACCACAGCACTTCCCACGAGCACTCAATGGAGCTTTGGCCATTTGCGGATTACTTTATTTGGGCGTGATGCTTTGTGGCTGAGCCAATATTTGAAGGGCCTTGCAGGGTAGTTGTATAGTTTATGTTAGTCTATATGGAGCGCAACTTGCCCATTCAGGTGGATATTATGGATATGGCAACTTCATTCGAGATGATATCGTGGAGTCTCTGGGCCAATCCCCGGCCACTTTTGAGGAAGCAATGCATCAGCCAATCAGTGAATGGACAGGCATGGGATGAAAATGGATGACATGGGGAATGTTTAAGGTGGAACACATTGAACACCTCGACCGGGTTGCTCCAGATGCGCAGCAAATGCGGATGTGGCAGCCGACTGATGGCCTAGAAAGAGACATTCTGTTGCCCTAGTCCTCAACTGCACAGAAAAGTCTACCAGACATATTCTTGCTGGCATAGTTTTGCGTGCAGCTTTCTCAAAGCCCGGATCAGCGAAGCCACAGCATTTTGGCTGTCTCCACCTGCCCAACCTTGATTTAGGCAAGTTCCACAACTGCCTGCTTCGCTTTGCTTCTTCACTCCTTTTGATTTTTGTTTGCCGTATTGTTGCTGGCTCGTCTGCAAGCTGCGAAGTACGACCTTCCTACTGGCGCTCCACCTACCGACTGCGCAGGTGCCCGAAGGCCATGGCTTCGGGTCTTCATCTCGATTCTGATTCTGATCAACATCTTCCTCAGCAACTGGAACTGAGAAGTGTCTTTTGTGGGAAGACCGCGGAACTGAGGATTGTGTTTGCGGTACTTCAGAGTATGCGTTGATTGTGAATGTATGTGAATCATGTTGAGTTTCAGACCTATACCTGGAAAGAGTTTCTGAATTTTTCTGTCAAGACTCACGGTCCTGTGAAACAAGGAAACCTGCAGAAACAGGGGGAAAACAGGCCCAAAAGGCGGCTTCCAGCGACGAGCATGCCGCTGACGTGTTGTGTTGTTCCAGGCATGCCGCTCCTAGCCATGGCAGTTTTCTATTCCATCGAGACTCGGTGGGCAGATGGGTCGACTCGAGTCGGTCGCGGGAGTGACGGCCTCGCACAGACTCCGGGCCTCCAATGATATGAGTTGCTTTCAAAAGGTCAAGACGATGCAGTCCTTTCAACATCCAATTGCATCAATTACTGAAGGGTTGTGGTGATCCAACTAGGCGTTCCTTTCGACTCTGGATGATGATTTATCAGAGATGATCAGTACGTATGAATTGGAACGCTGCTGTTTGTTTACCAAACTTTTTATGCTCCCGAAAAGAACACCTGGAACACGATTACGAGATCCGGGTTCTGGTATCCTGCGATGCTTTTCTTTTCGATCAAGGAAAGCTCCTTTGCACACGCAGTGCCGGGCTCCTGGGCCAATTGGGCCATGAGGATCGGCCTTCTCACAGGTGCGACATCGCACCGGGGAAACCAGGGGTTAGGGATGGTTAGGGTACTAGGTCGATCTAGGTCGACCGTGTTTGGTTTCTTTGTCGTGTTCCAGGGGTCGACTCTCCGAAACCCGGAGGTGCTTGGTAAAGCAGCTTTCTTTCGGTTGAGTGGGCTGGTTTCGGTTCTGCTTTGGGACGTTTGTCCTCCCCTTCACTTTGGGACGCTTCCCAACGATCAAGCCCAGAGGCGTTGTTCTGGTCGGAGCCCTGATCGTTGGGGATGATGGTGTTAGGCATGTGTTGGCTACTCCTTGAATCTCCTTGAGGGGCTAACGAGGACAAGCGGTTCAAGAGCAGATATCTTGAGAGTTGGGAGAGCATAAAACGTGTTTGCTCGTCGTAGTCAAGGGTACCCGGCAGATGCTGTTTGCAGCGCCGCCGTTGCCCTTCTTTTTGGACTGGGTGGTGTGCAGACAGCAGTTTCTAACTACTAAGGCATCAAGCTCGTCAAAGTAAGTGTGGGAGGTTTAGGATTAGGTTTGCAGAGCAAACTCTGTTCAAAGGCTGAGGAAATCTGAAGTTAATTGTATCTGTGAAACCAGCATGGAAGTTCAACCGTAGTTTGACCTGAGTTCCTTGGACATCTTGGTTCGTCAGTGGCCCTTCGTGTCCTACCGCCCTTTTGCTGCGAGAAACATGTCGTTCGAGTGAGCCCGCTTCGCTTTGTGGTCCCACAGTGGTACCGCGGAGCTTGGTGGGATCCATGGCCAGTGACGCGTCAGCAGGTGGAAGAGACCGAGGACCCGAGGCCTTCACGACCGCGGAAGGGGTGAGCATTCGGAGGGGAGAACCCGGTAGTTCGGATGGGCCGAACTATAGGGATAGGGACCCGCCGCCCACCTACAGCGGGGAAGATCCTGAAACTACGTTCAGGGGCTTTGAGAAGGCAGTCCGCCTTTGGGAGTACGAGACTGATGTTCCCAGGAACAAGAGAGGTGCCAAGTTGCTTAGAAGCTTGACCGGGGTAGCCAAGTTAGCCTTAGAGGAGATGGAATTTGACGACATTGCATGTGAAGATGGGCTTCGTAATGTCATGCAGCGGTTGAAGGACTTTTTCATGCCCCACCTGGAGGTCAGCCTGCCGAGAGCTTTCGAACATGCTGTGTACGGTTCTCACAGGACCTCGAAGGAGAGCTTCGCTGAATACTTGGCCAGGATGGAAAAAGCGTTCACCAGGTTGTCTCGTGAAGGAGTTGAACTACCTGATGGAGCGCAAGGCTACATCCTGTACCGTCATGCCTCGCTGAACGAACATCAGGACCAAAGATTGCTCGTCTGGAGTGAAGGCCGCTACGACAAGAGCTCGATGGTCAAAGGCCTGAGGAAACTGGACAAGGTCTTGAAGGAGAAGGGCAAGAATGCCTACATGTTTGAAGATGAGCACCAGGCGTTCGAGGCTGAGGAGGACAATGAGACCGATAGTGAAGAGTACATCTACCTTGCGGATGGAGACCTTGACCCGGTGTACGAGGAGAAGGATGTGATGGCCGCCCTGGCCTCATACAAAGAGGCTCGTGAAGCCCTGAAGAATCAGAAACTCAGCCGGGGATACTTTCCTCCAGCCAAAGGTCGTGGAAAGGGCAGAGGCAAGAACAAGGTGCACGTGGAGCAGTTGAAGCTACGAACCAGGTGCTGGAAGTGCAATGCCATCGGTCACTGGGGTCGTGAATGCCCCCAGCCTGATCGTTCACAGAGCAATGGAGCGCCTGGCTCAAATGTGTCGACTGGAGGGACATCTTCTTCGGCACGATCAGGTTTTTTCGTGACTATGGCCGATGCACCCGGCGATGGTCACCATGATTTTTGGTTGAGACAGTTTGTGCAGCAGAGGGAATCGATGGTGGACAACACCACACCTCTCGACTCCGAGACCGCGTCCGCGTACAAGGGTGCGCTTGGGCAGAGTGGGTTTTGTGGAATTACCACGCAATGTCATGAAGGGGTAGTTGATACGGCAGCAGAAGGTGGATTGATTGGTTCCTTTGCGTTTGATCGCTTGAGTCATGCTCTTTTTCATCGTGGCCTCAAACCGGTTTGGACTCCGAAACAGTCTTCAGCCAAGGGTGTCGGGGGAAATGCCGCCGTGTTAGGAGTAGCCCTGATACCAATCGGTTTGGGAGGAGTCAATGGGGTTTTGGAGTGCACGGTCATCGAGGGTGAAGTTCCCCTTCAACTGATGAAGCATTTGCAGGTCACCTTGGATTTTGTCAAGTATGTCTTTTTCAGTGCCTTGCACGGAGTCAAGATTCCCATGCGAGAGATGCCTAGTGGACATGTCACGATTGATGTGCTTCAATTTCATCGTGAAGGTTTTTCGATTCCACAAGAGCTTTTGCGTCATGGGCTGACTGTCGATGACTTCTCAGAAGCCATGTCAGCTCACTCAAGAGCTATCAATTCGACTCGCTCCACTCGTTGTGACCTACCGTGTCGAGCCTCCCACTGGTGCCATGGCGTCGATGCTGGATCGCTTGCAGCGGCTGAATCAAGGTTCTCCTTCGCCGCAAGCGCCCAGGGACAAGTCCAAGAGCAAGATGGGAGCTGTGGCAAGGGTGGCACTTCGAAATTGGAGGGTGCTCATGGACAAGGTCATCACCATGTTCGCGTTCGTGCAGCACCAACTCATCGTGCAGGAGTGGTTCCCAGATTTGCCTGTTGCCTCGCCGCTGCGGCCTTCGGAGGAAGAGGATACTTTGGAGGACGTGTACGCGAAGATCATCGTCCATGCCAAGAGATTGGACAACCTCAAGTCCAAAGAACCTCCCAAGGTGTCAGTCAGCAACTGCACTCATCCGAAACAATACCTGAAGGGTGGGGGCAACCATGCCAGCTCCTACATCGTGTGCAAGCAATGCTACAGCAGGTGGCAGAACACATTCAGGTCTCAAGAACTTCGAGACAGCCTCAAGGAAGACAAGAAGAAGGGCCACTTGAGCAAGACTCTGGCGTTGGAAGGCGAGAAGACGACCGAGCCCAAGACACCAGAGCGGAAGACCACTCAGATGAAGGTCAAGGACGAAGCCGACAAGATGGAGATGGCTCGTCGAATGGAGTTCATGCAGAAAGAGATCGAGAGCCAGAGGTTCGAACTCCGCCAGAAGGACATCCGGCAGCAAGCGTTGGTGAGCGCTCTACAGAAAGCCGAGGACCAGGCTCGCAGTGCTCCGTCGACTCCAACCCCCTCGAGGACTCCGCTATGCCAGTGTCGACGACCGTCGGAGCGAATGATGGTGAAGAAGGAGGGACCGAGGAAAGGCAGATTCTTCTACAAGTGCGAGCAGAGAGAATGCGAGTTCTTCGAATGGGAGAAGAAGGACGATGCCATGTCGGTGGACTCCTACAGCCTGATCGGAACCACGTCCCGGAGGTCGAAGAGCCCGAGGAGGGAGATGGTGGATACTCCCGGACGCACCCAGGGAGTGTTGCCGGTGGACTTGACGCAGGAATTCGAGGAAGCAATTCGCTGCGACAGCGAAGGACTATGAGCTTCATCCAGCCGGATGGAGTGCCAGGAGAAAGTGAGAGTTGGTTGGTGGCCGCCTCACGACGGGCCAAGAAGAAGTTGAAAAACCATCTCCTGAACAACGACGAGGACGGGTTCTTCATGATTGACGAGAACTATCAGGCATGGAACGACCAGAACCAGACGTGGGAGAAGGTCTACGGCAAGATCGATCTGAGAGATCCAAGGCCTGTGAGAGCCAGGGCGCACTTGACTTGTCGCAAGTGGCAAGATGACGTTGAAGATGTCGAGAAAGAGAGAGCCTTGTCTCGTCAGATGAAGAAGAAACTGGTTCCTCAGTTGGAGAAATTGATGAAAGAACGGGTCTCTGTTTCAGAAGTCTACTCACCCCCAAGGATTTGCCGAACTGCTGAGCAGAATGGGCTGAAGCCTGGATCTTCCTTTGACATCCTCGAGGGATGGGATCTTCGAGATCCCAACCAGGCCCGAGCTATGTGGCACACCCTGCAACAAGAAGAGCCCGAACTTGTGGTAGTCAGTCCTCCATGCGTTGCTTTTTCCGCCATGCAAAACATCAACTTTCCGAAGATGAGCTTGAAGAAGGTCATGGTGATCGTGGCGGAAGGCTTGCATCATATGCGGGTTGCCATGAAGGTGGCATGCTGGCAATGGAGGAGGGGAAAGTTCTTCTTGTATGAACAGCCTAAGACCGCGAGATCGTGGTCGGAAGAAGAGGTTGCGAGAGTTCGTCGACTACCTGGAGTACAAGTTGTGGAGTGCCATATGTGTCGCTTCAACATGAGGGTCCATGCCAAGCTCAACAAGAAGCCCACGTTCATCATGACCAACTGTCAACCCATAGCCAAGAGGCTGGACGTGCAATGTGACGGAAGTCATGAACATGATCGTTTGGAAGGACGCTCCATGACCAAGCAGGCACAAAAATATCCAGAAGAGTTCTGTCAGGCTATTGTGGAGGGGCTGAAGGAAGCACTAAGCAGAGTGAATGCCGAGACCTACGTGCAAGAAGAAGACGATGGGGTAGAAGAGATTGAAGATGGCCCGGAGGAACCGGCAGAACCTCAAGAAGGAGAGATGCCAGAGGCGCCTGCCAGTGGATATGAGCCCACCCCTGAGGAGAAAAGAGCGGTGATGAAGCTGCACAAAGGAGTGGGACACCCGTCCAAAGAAGATCTGGTGCGGTTGATGAGAGCTGCACGGGTGCGAGGAGAGATCATTCGGTGGGCCGCCAAGCACTTCGAATGTGAAGCATGCAAGACCCAAGTCAAGCCTAAGAGTGTTCGCCCTGCGGCCATTCCGAGAACCTACACACCGTGTCAGGTCATCGGCATCGACCTCATCTTTCTGCCAGAAGTCGGAGGAGGTCAAGCCTTTCCCGCGTTGTCAGTGGTGGACTGGGGCAGCAACTACCAGATGGTTGAGAGAGTCACCGACAAGGCACCAGAGACCATATGGAGAACTTTGTGGTCAATATGGATCCGGACGTTTGGGCTTCCGGAGGTGGTGGTATGCGACTCGGGCAAAGAGTTTTCGCAAAGGTTCATGAGATTGCCGGATCCCACGGCATCATCACCCACCAGATTGCGGCCCGGGCCCCGTGGCAACAGGGGAAGACGGAAAGACGTGGAAGCCACTTTAAGGACCTGCTTGAGAAGGCGAGGAATGAGACGATAGTGTCCAATGACGATGAACTCCGAACGCTGATGCAGGAGGTTGAGTCCGCCAAGAACAGATTCTCGAACCGATCTGGATACGCCCCGATTCAGAGACAAATAGGCCAGTGGCCACGACTCAGCGGGACTTTGCTCACCGATGACCTGGTGGACGTTTCCCTCATGGAGGCTGCGGTTGGAGATGACTTTGAACGACTGCTGGAACTTCGAAGGGTGGCTCAGAAGGCGTTCATAGAGCACAATGCCAAAAAGACCATCCAGAAGATAGAACATTCTCGTTCTCGAGTCTCACAGGAATTCACGGCAGGAGACTACGTCTTTGTCTACAGAGTCCCAAAGAGCAGGAAGAGAAGAGTTGGTGGTGAAGAGGTAGTGGACAAGATGACGAACAAGCCCTATTGGGTGGGACCTGCCACGGTGATCATGGTAGATGGTGCGAACCTGTGGGTGACCGTCTTTGGACAGCTGTGGAAGGTCTCCCGGGAGCAATGTCGGTTGGCCACAAATGTGGAAAAGCAAGGAATTGAGGTCATTATGCGGGACTGTCGGGAATTGGTGGAGGAGTATACAAGAAGACTTCGAATCGAGCTGGATTCAAAGACCTCACCGAGGAGCCTCGTCCTGAAGAAGAAGAAGGAGGAGATCTCAACCGACAGAATCGTAAGCGACCACATCCTGCAGGAGAAGAAGAAGAAGAAGAGGACATGCTCCGAAGGCCAACGGTGCAGAGGGGAAGTTCTGAGTATACACCCTCTGAGCCCCCTCCGCCACCGGAGGAGAGGGAAACAGCATCTCCAGAGGAGGAAGAAGGAGGTGACCAAGAGCCTTCGCATGGAAACAGTGACCAAGTGTCTGAAGAACCTGAGGCAGAAATGCAGAACTCCAGGCAGATGACGCCGGGAGAAGGGGCGGAGGAAGAAGCGCCCCTCGAGTTCAAGACCTGTGGGAAGTACATCCACGATGCCGGCGACCGCTGAACAAATACAAGAACAATACCGACGATCAATAGCTGCTGCGGACCGGCTTGATGACATTCCTCCTTATGGACAACCTGCTCGGTGGAGAAACAATGCGAGCGGACCTACAAGATCTCCGTACCTCGCTGAAGTATATCTTGCGACAGCTGAAGAACAAGAAGAAGATGAAGAGCTCGAGAGGATCGAATGGCTACGGGAGCAGTTTGGGAGAAAGGCCGGTCATGATCACTGGGAGCTGTCTGAAGATGGCAAGACTCTCACGAGACACCATGTCCAGAAGAGGAAAGGAATGTTCAATCCCGCCAATGCTCGAGATCTTCCTATACCTGTTCACTGGTTGAAGACCTCCAGAAAGACCCTCAAGAAGAATGGAAGCATTGGGATGTGCGATGAGATGGATGATGATTGGACGATGAAGATCGTTGAAAGGCCAACATGCAGCAGAAAAGAAAAGAACTGGTGGAGAGGAACCACCACTTTCCTGGTCCATCCTCAAGGAGAAGACCACGTGGATGAGCTGGCGAAGTCATTGGAATGCTGGTTGGCATTGAAGAAGAGAACCGAAGAGATTGACATTCACCTGGAGTCGTCCAAAGATCGTGAAGGATGGCAAGAGGCCGACCTCGCAGAATGGAGCAAGATTGCCGATAGTGGAGCGATTCAGGTGCTAAGCATTGAGGAGTCCATGCTTGTGAGAAGAGAGCTCCAAATGGAAGAGAAGTTAGACCGCATCCTCCCATCCAGGTTCATGAGGAAATACAAGCATTCAGAACAACCTGGAGAGGCACCAGTGAAAAAGGGTCGCATGTGCATTCGAGGAGATAAGGATCCTGATATGCTTTCATTGGACCGTTTCAGTCCCACGGTGTGCACCATGAACATCAATGCCATGATGCAGATCGCTGCCAATGAAGGTATGCCCATGGCCTTGGGAGATTTAAGGAATGCATTCTGTCAGTCCGCACCTTTGCAGAGAACCAATGGTCCTGTGTACTTCTCCCTGCCGAAAGAGGGCATCAAAGGCCTCGACAGTCGTCAACTGGTGAAGATTGTGCACGGAGTGTACGGCTTGGTTGACGCCCCACGGCATTGGAGAAGAACCCTGACGGAGTCTCTTCAGCGACTGGGCTACAGACAGTCCCGAATGGATCCGTGCATCTATGTCCTGCACCATGAGAAGAAGTTGGAAGGCATGATCGCCATTGAAGTTGATGACCTGATGACTGCTGGACACCAGATCCACAGGGACAAGATGGCTCAACTACAGAAGCTCTTTAGCTTCGGGAAGTGGGTGAACCTTCAAGAATGTGAAGATGGTGCATCATTCAACGGTCGCAGAATCAAACAGAACCCGGATTGCGGTTTCGAGGTTGACATGGAGAAGTTCGTCAAAGCAAGGCTTCCCTATGTGGTGGTGCCTCCAGACCGAAAGAAGCAGAAGCAAGCAGAAGTCACTGAGGAAGAAAGAAAGCAGGCTCGAATGATCTGTGGAGCCCTGAATTGGATTGCCAAAGAAGGCAGACCTGATGCGGCTGGAGTGGCAAGTTTGATGTCTTCACGTTTGAACAAGATGGTGGTTGAGGACTTGCTCCAGTTGAACGATGCCATCAAGGAGATCAAGGGCAATGCCGCGTTGGCGATATCCATCCAACCTCTGAAGAAGATGAGGTTGGCAGTGGTGACTGACGCGTCTTTTGCGAATCATGGATTCCACAGTCAAGGAGGCCAGATGATCTTGAGCCATGAAGAGGGTCTCAAGGAAGGCCTGGAGGTGAAAACCAATCTTCTTTGGTGGAGAAGCGGTAAGTTGCAAAGAGTGGTGAACTCGACGCTTGCTGCGGAGACACAGAGTCTCAGTCGAGGCATTGGTGATTTGATGTGGCTAATGCTCCTCTTCAAGGAGATCCAAGAGCCAGACCTCCACCTGAGAGACTGAGCCCACGGCTTGAAGAACCAGGAGATCGTGGCGATGGCTTCAAGTGAGAGCGACGGAAGGCTAAAAGAAAGCCTTGCCATAGTAGATGCCAAGAGTTTGTATGACTACCTCTCCAAGGAAACTTTGGGGGGTCAGGACCGTCGCACGGCCATAGAGGTTCAGATCGTTCGAGATGATCTCTCTGCCCTCGGAGGCCAGATTCGATGGGTAGATCATGTGTCCATGGTGGCAGACGCCCTCACCAAGGTGAAAGGAGCGATGACCGCTTTGAAGAGGTTGCTCACGACAGGTCGCTTTTCCATCAGGGCTGAGAAAGACTTGATGGCGACACGTGAGGAAGCTAGGAATCAGGGCAGAACGACCTCAGATCTCCGGAAGAAAGGCACTCAGGTCAACAAAAGTTTGGGGAGCTGTGAAACCAGCATGGAAGTTCAACCGTAGTTTGACCTGAGTTCCTTGGACATCTTGGTTCGTCAGTGGCCCTTCGTGTCCTACCGCCCTTTTGCTGCGAGAAACATGTCGTTCGAGTGAGCCCGCTTCGCTTTGTGGTCCCACAGTATATATAATCAAATAATGAGTTTGCTGACCGTGTGTCCTTACTCCTGCAAAAGCTCAATCATTTCGATTTCTTGAGCGAACTTCATTCGGTTTGGCTGGTTGGCGTATCTTCCGCACTTATTCTCAGGCGTGGTAGCAGTGGCATTGGCTGTGCCACGGTTCACAGTGGTGTTCAGCTCCTTGGCAATCAAGATGTGCGGTGCTTTGTTGCACTGGATGTGGGTGGTTGGCAGGTTGAAGACTCAGAAGCATAAGCACAGCCGTTGGATCCAGCACCCAACCCCATAGGCCACGCAAGGCCTTGGATTGCACAGTAGTTGGCAGCCCTGCGTCTCCCCATGGCCAGAAGTACCTTCCAAGAACTGGGCAACAGTATGGCACCAAAGCACTAAGCAAGAGGAAAAGAAAGAATACAATAACAGGGTGAACACTATATTACTATTCCAGGAGAGGTGTTACATGCCAGAATATGTTTCGGATTATTCTTGAGTGGTATCTTTTTTCTATGGAGGCCTGACGTATATCTTACCACCCCGATGGTAAATTATACCATTGCTGGAAGCTAGAAACTAATGGCAATTCCATGGACACCTTCAAAGATGCATGCATATTTGCGGATCTACACCAAATCTATTATTGGGGTGGTGTTTGCGAGGTTGGCATCCCCATTCTTGGGGGGTTGGAGGAGGGAGGGATGAAGTATGAGCAAGGTAAGGGACGTAGTGGTTGAAATTGCTGGAATGCTACGTATAATTTCATGGCTGGAATCGTTTGTAAACTCATATGCCAATTCAAAATCGCATCCATATGCGTGGATTTACAACAATTAGTACAAGCATGATATTATTGGGGTGGGTTCTGAGGGAATGGAATATTTTATTGTGTACGGGGAGGTAGGCTTGAAGGGATGGCGGTAGGGATAGTAGCGGTCGAACTTCTACTGTATTTGGTTGGTTAGGTTTGCAGCGTTGTGAGCAGTCTTGTGTGTCCCACAGTCGAGTTTTGTAGAGTCTCTTATAGAGTTTTCTTAAATGCTCCCATCCTGAAAAGCATTTCCGTGCTTTATTATCCCAAACTTGTGAAACCAGGGTGGAGGATCTTTCCAAAACCTATGTAATGCGGGGGTTGGAATATATAAGAATAGTTATTCTTGGCGTGACCTTTACCCCTACTAAGGCGCCCGCCTCTTTATCGTTATATTATATTATATAGTATTATATAGTTAAACAAAAACAGCACATGTCTATCCGTCTGATGAAAGATGCTATGATGTGATGATGTGTGTCAGTATATGTGATGATGTGTGATGTTCTTCTTATGAAATTCTCCGCCATGTACTGTATCATGCCGGTTTTTCCTCTCAACACTTCAACCAACCCCCTTCCTCGAAACGCCAAGGGCAAGGATACAACAAAACAACACTCGAGACTCCATTGGGGGTTAACATGATGGTTTCTTCAGGTGCGCTTAGGTTTGCTCTTGGGTGCTGTAGCAGGGAGAACAAAGCATATTTGTTTTTGTTGGGTAACCATGTTTGGCCTTGGCCTCATTCATCAAAGGAGCTTGGAAACAAAACAAGGACAACTTGGAGTAACTGGTTTCGCTATTCTTTTCTCATCGCCCAAGGAACTTGGCAAAGAGTGGGGTGGGTCCAGGTACCAGTGTGATCAGCTGTTCTTGCGTTGGACAGTTCGGATTGATGAGGTTTGATAGGCCTGGGTGACCCACGCGGAAACCGGTTTCAACCTTGTACTGAAATTCGACATATGTCACAGGATGGGATGCATTGAGATGCATTCAAAGGTCTCTTCACCGCTGCGCGACTGCACAGGTTTCTTTAGCTCATTGACTGCACCATGCGTGTCCTTGATATTTCCGCTACTCTTCGCAGGCCAGCAAGTGGCAGATTACAGTGGAGCTTGCTCTAGGAAGAATGACAGAAAATCCAAGAAGAATCATCCCAATCATCCCGCATTGCAGACTATATCTTGGAGAAGGTCAGCAAGTGCCGCCGTGGCTATCACGCAGTCCTTTTCATCATTGCAGTGCTGAGCAACTTCCGCTGCGCATACATGCGAGCGGAAGTGGGGCGATGCCGAAGCACAGGGACTCTCCAGATGTCGATTGAATATAGGGGTTTGGTTTGGTGAGCTTCTACTTGGTGGCCTTCTCTGGGGATGGGGGCAGCTGGAGACAACCCAACGTACCTGCCTACCTTTAGCTGCACTGTGATTAGCATGAGCAAATACCATCCTTGGAGGGAAACAAACAGGGAAGCCTGCGAGGCTTGAAAGGCACAAGCAGTTTTCTCCAAGCACATCCTTCGGTTTTCTCAAAACGGTTTCCTCACAACATTCACAGCCCATTGGATTCAATTTCTTTTTGGTGTCCAGGGGGTTGTGAGGGTCTCACTTTTTGGATGAGACGACCCAGGCTCGAGAACACACCAACATTAGGTAGGAGGCCATCGCTATTAGGTTGATTGAGTGGGTCTACGCCGCTCGTCAACGAGCGGAGGCATGATCTTTGGCGTGTACACCTCGATCTGGGACGTTGTGAGTGGGTGAAACATGGTGACACCTCCAAAGATTATTGTTTTATGTCATGAACTGTATGACATGCAAAGAGTGTATTGCATGTCGGCGTTCTCCGGGCAGGTCAATCCGACCAAATCCAAAGATCAAGAATCAAGGAGGCAGCATGTATCTCCTTTGGTTTTTGTGAAGTCCTCCACTTTGCCCTAGGGCCTATGGTAGGAACGTTTTCTTACCCAACGTGCAAGAATTTCTGCCTATCTCAGGTGTTTTAAAGGACCAATTGCTCGGATTGCGTCGGTGTTTCAAGTGTCCAGTTTTGGGGAGATCCCCATTAGCTCCCGCACCAGCTCTTCGTCCATCTTCCAGGAGGGAAGGGGTTCATTACACAGTGATAGCCAGTTCTCACAAGAAGAGGGCATCATTTGAAAGGCGAAGCTGGCGAATACTGCAAAAAGATTTGGCCGACTCCAGATATCTGCGGTAAACAGACAACAGACGGTGTTTGTGTTGTTAATGTTTAAGGAAGGACACCACGAGGCAAAGAGATCCAGCGGCTCACTGAAGCTGACAGGACGCTGACATTGACGCTGGCTGGACCCAACGTGAAACGGGGTATGCTTGATTCGCTTCAACCTTTCTTTGGCATCCATACTGACTGTAGACCTTGCAACTTGACTTGACCTTAGGGCCAAGGACTATGTCCAAAAATGTTGGTGTTGCTTGTAGCCTTAGATTGTGAGTCATATCAGTCATTTTCTTTCAGGTCTCTTGAAGTATTTTGCGTTTCAAGCCTGGGGTGCAGATTCGGGGTGCAGGGGTCCAACGGTGGCGCCGTGCAGGGTGCAGTGTAGGTTTGAAGGTGCTTGAAGCGTACAGTCACGCAATGCAGTGACGATAGGCAAGAGCACACTCTTTGCTCAGGTTCTTTCGCAACGTCCATTGTCAATGCCAGTGATCTGGGCAACTGGATACTGTCTTGCCGCCAGCAATCAACAGATGGGAAGAGCAACTACAGTAGAGTTGGAGTTGATAATTAATAGCAGCAGACATCTCAAAGACTGTTTTATTGATGATGTCTTATGGACCCAATATTTCTGCTTCGCAGCTGACAATGGCAAGTGTTGATGATGTTCTTGATACCGTGGAATGCTCGTGGCTTTTGCTCGCGTTTTCTCTCAAGAGAAGTCGAGGATCAAGTCTCACGCACAATCGCGTCAGAGGCAAGTGTCAGAAAAAGCTTTCGCTTGCCTAAGCGGTTCGTTGCTTGGTAGGATCACCGGGCAAGATGCAGAACCGCTAAGTCTCTTGATTCTGGACTATCAGTAGGTGAGCTTCGTTTTTGAAGATGCAAGAATTCTTCTCTTTCGTCCGGTCTATCCAAAAATAAACATGTGCTTCAACTTATCCATGCTTATATTGTTCAGACAAGATATCCTAACTGGCAGCACTGAGACCGCTGCCAAGGGCCTGGCAGTGACCTGCCATGGTCAAGGGCTTGGCTTTCGACAGGTTCAAGAAAAGGCACGTCAAGGGCTCAAGGGAGTGGTTGTTCAGCAAGCACAGGCGCAGGGAGGTCTCGAGTCCAAAGACCATTAAAGACCGCCTATTCATGCTTCCAACATCTTCAATAGCTGAAGGTGAAATTTCGGACTGGTCTTCATTAGTACATTGACCAGACATCTTGCAGCAATGCACATCAAGAGCAATCCCAGAATATATAACGTGAGTCAGCAACGTGGATGCCCCCAATTGTGCCAAAGACTCCATTCAACAGTGCTCATAAATCCCCTGTGCAGCCTCCACATGTCGGCAATTCTGTCTTTCAAAACGCTTCCTCTTTTTTTTTCCCCGTGGTTTTGACTCTTTTTGGGACCCTCATTTCTGGTAGGACAGCATTTGTCTCCTCGTAGGCGCCCAACAGCGAGACGCTGCTCGCGGCTTTTCGAGAGCTTGAATCACTGTCGCCCGGTTGGGAGAGAACGGCGGTTTTTGACGGCACCGGCAAACGGTGGTGGGGCTAGTAAGTGGCAACCACTATCGCAACTGATATGGTAAAGATGTTGTTTGCGTTGTTGGCATCATGAATGTGCTGGAAAAGGGCATGATTGGTGCTCAGACTGATGGAGATGTCTCAAACAGCAGGATATGAAGCTTAGGGTATATCTTTGGGGCAGTTCCACACATGTTTAAGGAATTGAAGGTTAGAACTAAAGTTCATGTACCCATGCAGGCTTCATAAAATGCATTGTGACTGGCAGGACTTGTCGAGTTGGCTTCATCTCAGGTTTGGCTTTCAGTCATTATCGCGCAATCTATCAGAGCTCTCCAATGTCAGAAAGATTCATGCTTACTTAGTGCAAACGCTATGGAACTTTATTAACTCTGTTAACCCGTTCCGTCCGCTGGGACCTTTGCCTTTAAAGGCAAAGCGCGACATCTCCCCAAGGCCAAAGTTGCAGGAAGAGAGCGTTGTGCTTGTCTGCCGGGACGGACCGCCACAGAGCTCAGAAAAAAACCGGTAGCTCAGGCTACGACCAACGTGCTCCCGTCAAACCATGTCATGTGTATTTATATATAAATATGGGTGTTTGCTTTTGATTCACCTAATATCATCTAACATCCACAAGTTGTCACAATTGCTGCTCTTCTGCGACCACTTCATAGGCATGTCTATTTCAAGGTCGTTTTCAATGATGTTAGGTATTTAAATCAGAGAGGCACAAGAGTTTGCCAGACAAACGAAAGTAGCGTTATGAGGTCCGGTGCCCAACTCAAGACTCCGCAATCATGCAGGACGGTCGATGTCAGCTGCCCTGGCAGTGGCCTGGTTGACGCTTCGCTGTGGGCAGGACCTTTTGCGCTTCGTGGACGAAAGTCCATTTTGCTTGTTGAAATGTACTGGTCTCTTAGTGATGTGGCGCAAGGACTTGATCAACCGATTGTATAACACTAGCTGCGCATGGATAATTACGTGATGGACATATCGCTAGGTTGATCTAGGTTGCCCAAAGTCTACAAGCATTCAGGTTGTACTACTGAGTGTACAAGCATATGCCGCCGCTGTACTCCAGTCTTTGGACTCCTCCGTCGACGCAGTGGTGGAATCCGCTAAACAGGTGCCGTGGGCAGCGTTGCATTGAGATCGATGGGAGATGAAGAGAAACAGAAGCGGTGGCATCGTACAGGCGATGAGGCAACCATGTCGCGATTGAGAGCTTTAAGAGGTGATTGATGCGGAGGCCGTGTGCAACAGGTTGTTTATGGCCAGCAGCCTTGCAGCTGTTTGGCAGGAAGAGCAAGATTCGGATTTGGAAGCCATTGCTAGCTGTGCAAGGAGCAGTTCCCTCAAAGGGGTGACTCCAAAACCTATTGAGTAAGTGCCCTCGATGTTTCTGTTCATCGACGCGCCCACTTAAAATCAGTGCGTTGGACATTCAATCCCTCAACAAGACGACTGGCAATTCAGCTAGCATCAAATGGATGCAGCTGTTTAATCACAGGCATGGTCCTTTATGTCCTCCATTGATTGAGGTATTCCACTAAGTACATCTCATTCGTGCAGAGGTCGGGGCTATTCGTTGCCCTTTGGAGGCCTTCGAAAACCGCGAGGTGCGAAGAGGGTGGGTGGGGTTTGCGAAAGCTCATCTCCCAAAAGAATTACAATAACAAGGATTCAGGATGAATAACAATAATGATCGTTTGAATGAGGATTGAATAAGAACTTTTTGGCAGGAGATTCTCGCCAGCTCTTTGTCTAATGGCGAAATGTGGCTGTGCCCAGTCTTTGGGATTCTAAGGCTTTAAGGGGTGACCATCCAACCAACGGACCAACAAGCAAACAACAACCTAGTAGCGATGGCCTCCACCCTAATAGCGATGGCCTCCAACCTAGTAGCGATGGCCTCCAACCCAATAGCGATGGCCTCCAAACTAATGGCGATGGCCTCCAACCTAGTAGCGATGGCCTCCAATCCAATAGCGATGGCCTCCAAACTATGTAATAGCGATGGCCTCCAACCTAGAAGCGATGGCCTCCAACCTAGTAGCGTTGGCCTCCAACCCAATAGCGATGGCCTCCAAACTCTATAATGGCGATGGCCTCCAACCTAGAAGCGATGGCCTCCAACCTAATAGCCATGGCCGCCAACCTAATAGCGATGGCCTCCAACCTAGTAGCGATGGCCTCCAACCCACTAGGGATGGCCTCCAACCTAGTACGGTGGCCTCCAACCCAATAGCGATGGCCTCCAACCTAGAAGCAACCTAATAGCGATGGCCTCCAACCTAGTAGCGATGGCCTCCAACCTAGTAGCGATGGCCTCCAACGAAGAAGCAAACAACTCACAATGTCTCCTGTGATTTCTCTCAGATGTTGGCCATCAACAAGCACCACTCAGTGGCAACGCAGTTTACCCAAGCTTACCCCAAGGCCTTCGCCGCGGCCCTCTCCAAGGCCAGCTACTTGGGGTCGAATGGGTAGGGAAAGTGGGCTTTCCTTGCCCACTGCGTTTTGACATGCAGTTCGTTGAAGTCAACACATGAACAGAGTGTTGAATTCGGTGATTAATTGATGCAGTTTGATGCAGTTTGGCAATTTGCCTGCTCACTGTTCGCTCTTAATGCATTGAAGAACTATTCATGTCGCATGTGTTCTTTTTCATGAGCACACCAGAAAGCCAGGCCAGTGGTCAGTGGCGTGCCATGTCTTTGTTTGGCAGCTTTTGGCTCTTGGTTGTAGAGATTGAGCCCTTTGCAAATTCGTTTGCGTATCGGAGGGGCCGCAGACACAGTTTACCCTAGCACAAACAGCAGGTGACTCATGGAAGTCCCTAACCAGAAACATCATGAAACTGCCCGGTCGTCCACGCAGTATATTCAACTTGGAGTGATTCTAGATCCTTCCATCCGAACGTGCTCAATGGATCCAATCGGTGCAACTGAGATCCCAGAGGACCAAGCAGACCGAGCGGAGATACCAGAGGCCAGCGAGATCCTCGAGGGCTTGTTCGTAGGTACAGCGGAGGCCGGAACAGAAGCTACTGTGGGCGCCAACCAGCGCCAGATCGGCTACATTTTGAATGTGGGAGGCTGCGTGACCCCAGCAATCTTCGCTGCCCTGGCGGAAGCCTTGGCCTTGGAAGAAGTGGACAGAGAACTGAAGGAAGAAAAGGAAGTGCCGGAAACTGAAGAAGAGGTGCCGAGGGTGAAGAATTTCAGAATCATCTCCTTGTCAGAAAGAATATGACTAGGAGGAGCAAGGACGCTACTAGGAGCAAAGGGCATCGCTACTAGGAGCAAGGACGCTATTAGTAGCTCCTGGCATCGCTACTATGAACAAGAGGACGCTACTAGCAAAGTCTCCTTGTCAGAGTGAGAAGCCTTCCCTCATGGCCCGTTTCGCCTCGACAGGCCGTGATCCCTCGATGGGGCCGTTCGCACCGTTCCGGCCAGCGCTATACGCAGAACGGCGTGGAGACCCTGGCCATTCCGATGGACGACTACGGTCGCACGCAGCTCACAGAGGAACTGCTGCAGAGCTGCTTCGACTTCATTTCCATAGGGCTCCAGGAACGGGGCCATGCCCTGGCGATAGACTCAGGTAGACTCAACCTGGGCCTGTTCGTGGCCGTTGAGAAATCATTTTGGAGTTTGTTCTCCTGGAAAGTACACTGAGTCCTTTACAAGATTTTTAGAATATAGAGTTCTTGCAATATCCAACCGCGATGGTGTTCATGCATATCACCTGTCATGATCTGTCATGTAGCCCGCTTGGATCAGGAGGGCCGAAATGTCTTGGTTCATTGTCGCCTGGGGGTGAACCGCAGCGTCACCGTGGTGGCCGCTTATCTCATACGTTGCAGAGGCTTCACGGCGGAGGCAGCCCTGGAATTCTTGAAACAACGGCGGCCCTGTGCCAAACCCAACGATGCCTACTGCGCCCAGCTCTATGATCTTGATCAGGACTCTTGTTTGTGTATATAATAAAAATGATTGATTTTTGGATGCCTTCGGTTTGTTGTTCCGCTTCACTCTCGTTGTTTTCAGCTAAAATCTTCATTCTTCAACTTGTCAACCAGCGCTTGCTGGTGTTGTTCAGATGGGAACAATGAACAATTGATATCCATTGATCATGATGTTGGAGATCATTCATACAAACACTTTCTGGAAGAAGATTAGAAATTCCAGGAGAAAGGCATGTTGGCGGAGCCGGATGAGTGCGAGCCCATCGCTTTGACATCCCCGACCTCATGAGCATTATAATCCAGGTCCCATGAAGGGGAAAAAACTTGGTGGCAACTTTCGCTCAAGTCTGCAGAAAATTGGATGGCAATCCAATGCCATGATCTTGAGGTCTTCAAGAAGTGGCTCTTGAGGTCTTCAAGAAGTGGCTGGGATTCCTGACGGTTTGGAATCCTCAGCAATCCTCAGATTCTGAATTCTGGAGGTGCTCCCGCTTTGGCCTTGCTGCAGAGAGCTTTGGAGTGGCCCTTGGTAGTTCCAAATTCAGCGAGTTCCAAATTCAGCGCGCATTTTGCAACGTTGCCTCCGCGCTACTACCGCCGTTTACTGTAAGGCACTTGGAGCCATCGCTTGCCATTTCATGCGTTTCACAAAGTGTTGGTTGATGCCATCGTACGACTTCCAGGGTTTGCCAAGCAGCCAAGCACGGCGCAGATCGTTAACCAGACACGGACGAAGGACTCACACAGATTGCGCGCAGATCCGAAGTTATCAAATCAAGAGGCCAATTTGCAGCTGTTCGACCAGTCTCAGTTTAGACACCCGTGTAGCACATACAGCACATTTACATGTCTGGTGAACTGTGAACCCAGCATCAGTACTCGCTATTAAATAGCGCACTCCCCGAAGCACCTCCCCATGCTCAGCACCTCCGCTGCCCCAGGTCCACGAGCCATGAGAGATCATGAGAGCGCCAGGGAGAGACGACGGCGAAGCGGTCAAATCCGGGATGGGGAACGGGGGGTAGAGGGATCCACCCCAAGATCCACCCCAAGATGTGTCAATTTCAATTAAGAACCCTTAGTCCCTTAGTGTTTTTATTCGTATCCGGGGATTTACGAGTGACTCGAGTGGGCAGGTTCCCATGTTTGAGAAGAAAGGCTACTTGATGTGAGAGATCGTCGGTGGAATCTAGTCAGCCTGAGAGGGAGACGCACCACGGCCTGCCTGGTCACCAGGCTGAGTCTAAATACCTTTTGCCTATGTACTGTACCATTCCCGTTCGAGTTGTCCTTCGTTCAACCAAGCTGTCACTGTCCAGAGTGTCCTTTGCACAAGAATTCTACTGTAGATTCTAGTTGGAAAGGTGACCTATGCAAGGACTACTTGCGGATGACGAGGCTGATCCAACATCAACACTTGCCACTTAAATCGGATTTGTTGGAATCACCCACAATGTGCACTAGTCAAGCGCCGTTCTTGGCTCAGACGGACAGAGTGCGATCCAACGGCATACCTGATGGGGGCTGCGATCCATATATCTCCAAAGAGACAGGCCGCTTCTATATGGGGGAGATTGAGAGGTTGAGGAAACAGTACCATGTCCGTGTGATTGTATATATTTATTATATAATGAAATATATTTTGTGGGGCCTTCCAAGATTGAGACTCTCTGGAGCAGCGGCACATGTCGGTGTTTTGTTCGCCTGTCAGGTTGTCTATGGCGACTACTACTTGCCCGTGACCATGGGCGAAGATGACTCGCCCCAGCCATCCATGCATAGCATGGAGGTGACATTCTCCCTGCTCTCAGGGCAAAGCTTGAAATTGACCTTGAGCCAGGAACCTCAGAAGATCTTCTTGGTCAGCGGAATCAGGTCACCAAGAATGAAATTCCAGCTCGAAACGCTGCCCGTTGTACCGTGTTTAACATCTTTTTACTGTAGCATTTGTCAGCCCCATGTTCAAGTCAAGCAATTGAAAAACAGTTCAAAGTGAGTACCGCAGAATTATCCGTGTGTCCTAGCATGTCCTTGCTAGGTCGGAGAGATGCAACGGTGAAGGCTGCAAGACAACAGATCGCACGGCTGTGTTGTATGCCCGAGCAGGCACCAGCAATCGACAGAGAGAGAGAGAGAGGGATCGGTTTAAGCCAGCGTCTTGTTGGAGCTGCATGTCACACAGCCGTTTTCCAGTGGATTCGCGAGTCAGCTGTTTGAGCTTGGTGAAAGATAGGGACATGATGCTATTTTCAGTGGGTAGGGGAAGTTGAGGACATTGCAAGCTATTTGGCCGAGACACTCTTTCTCACAATGGGAAAGGGAATCTGGCTGTCAAATCTAACTCCTTTAGTGATCCCGCTGTTTGTACTGTTTGCATCAAGGTCCTATTCACAGGCAACCACCTGTAGCAATGTGAGTGAGATTATGTGAGGCTAGGTGGGATGGACGTGGATAGACGTCCATCTCATTAGACGTCCATCTCATTGCAGGGGGTATGTCCTCATCATATTCAGGATCACTTGGGTAAAGGCTTTGTTTTGACATGTTTTGACATCAAAGAAGCCCCAGCCGGTGGAGGCGGTTCACCTTTTGAATGAGGGACACGTGCTCGAAGACGAGGCATTCAAGCTGGCTGGAGGGGGTCGAAGCACGCCGCGGGGACATAGATTATGGATGGTGACTGGAGCCTGAGCTCCTCAAGTACTGTATTATATATACATTATACTATATGTTATATATATATATATATATGTTGTGTTTTTAATAGGTAAAGGAACGGTAAAGGAAGAGTTGAAAATCCGGTGATATCAAAGTCCATTGGATACCTTCTCGACACCATGTGTTCTCCGCCGCAACCTATCTTCAGCCGAGAATATATATATATCTATTGGCATTGCACTACATGGATTGCCCGGCACACAACGCCTTGATCACGGGGTTTCGGAAGCCCCCTGCATTGCCTGCTTCCGTCATTGCCCATTGGCCGTTGTAGAGAGATGAGGTGCAGTACTTCCCATGTATATACCAGCCCAGCCCCGGGATGCCCGGCCCAGAGACCTGCCGCAGTTGCATCTCCTTGGCCTTGAGTCCATACAGCTCATCTTCGATGCGAGCTGTTTGAGGAAGAGCCCGGCGCTTGGATGTATATTGCAAGTGTCACATGGCTGGGCTCAAAACATTTCAGAGAGAGGTGATATGCCTGTCGATTGAAGTGGCCCGCTGGCAATGATAAACTCAGAATCTTCAAGATCTTCAAGCTTTGCTCGCGACCGACTCCTGATAATTACTCAAACCTGGTTTATTGGCCTTAAAGGAAACTGACATGTTGTGGGGTTCCGGTGGTGCGGGGAGGCCACTTGCAACCCACACCGCCTAAACGCCGCATCGGCCCTGTAGCTCACGCGGCGTGAAAAACTGCGTTTGGCGTCGGTCGCAGACCTTCCACCCGAGTGGCCGAGGCTATTTGCCTGGGATTTCCAGCCTTGGTCTTTGGCATGGTGTACAGGCGGGAAAGGGCCACCGCCAGCCACCCTTCTTCTCCATGAAACGGCCCAAATGGAACAAAAGAGATCCTGAAACGGAAACCCTTCCATTGCGTTCGTGTAGCCTATGTCGCCGTATGTTCGATGGACATGTTTTTTTGCTTTGGTTTCACACATCCTGCCTGTTGCGTGGTGAGGCTCGTTTCAGGTTGCTCAATCCAGTGCCTCTTGGCACTTGGGCAACTGCAACGTTCCGTGAAGCATGCCAAATAAATTCCTCGACCTCGCAGCGCAGTCCTTTGGCTTTACATGCAAGTGAGGGCTGATTTACGGACCAAGGGGTTGCTAGAGCTCCAGCTGTGGGGGATTCGCGCCATATAGCAAATTGATGAAAATTGCCAACACAATCAATAGAACAGGCAGAGACAGGGGTGTTAATTTCTTCCACTTCGCACACAGTTGCTGAAAGTTTCCAGTTTGCTCAGGTTCGTCCAGCATATTCCGATATTCTGCCAACCTTGACAATGGCGCCTTCCACTGCATGAATGCTATCAAGAAGTCAGGCAGGGCGTCGGCAATGCGTATGCTAGAGCATGGCTCAGACTCATGATAAACTTGCCGCAGCAAGAATTGGACCAGAAGCTATTAGGTTGGAGGTCATTCCTATTAGGCTGGAGGCCATTCCTGTTATATAGGTAAGAGGCCATTCCTAATAGGTTGGAGGCCATTCCTATTCGGTTGGAGGCCAATCCCATTAGGTTGGAGGCCATTCCTATTAGGTTGGAGACCATTCCTATTAGGTTGGAGGCCATTCTCTTCATGGAGTCATGGATTCTTGGAAGAGAAGCGGACAGGAAGCGTTGGAAGACATTTTGCCATCAGCATCGAGGTGGGCAGATGGATGTCACACCAGAGTCAGACTCCAATCCACGAAGCTCTTGAGGTGGCTCGAGATTATTTCACCAGTTTAATCTTTAACAAGGCTTTTAGTCAGGGGCCAAGCTCTGGCTGCAACCATTCATGATTGAGGAGTTGTCTTCTGTAGACCTCGTCGATTTATGTGTCCAACAACCTCAGCCCTGACCTTCTCAAGTTGCCGACTTGGAGCCATGCTTCCAACAGTAGCTTATGACACCAACGTGGTTCAGGTTCTACTTGTAGGTTTTGATGTACCTCCAGAGGGCTCCACATGGCTCTACTCCGTGAGACATGGCAGTAGAGGCATGAAATCTTTTGCTGTTCTATAGGGGGCAACTCTATGTCTATGTTCAATTCATTTCAATTGGAGATCGCCTTGGGGATTTGAGGATATCGCAAAGTGGTGAAAAATCGATGGCCGCTTGAATGCCAAGAGCATATGTCATGTGTCCCGTGGATTTGGAATGACAAAGGAACCCTAGAGCCCTACTATGATGTTCCTCATGTTCTTTGCCGTGTCGGCGTTTGGGTCATTAGAGGCCTTTCGATGAAGGCAGCATGTTCAGCCGTCTAATTGGTTCTGTTCGACAGAGAGTGCCAACGATTTGGGAGCGCACATCAACCAGCCTTGATTTCGGTTCGTGCAGGGCCTGGACCAGTACCGCGCCCGAATCTTTCGCCCTTTGTCCAACAAGGCAGTGGGTGAGATGGGCATTGCCTTTTCATTGGTGGTCTAATATTGTCTATTCACTTCCATTTACACCGTTCATTGCCAGGCAACGCCTGAAGCGCAGGTGTTTGCTGTATGTATGATGATGTATCATGTATCCAATTATGTAGTGCTACCAGAGTTTCCAGGCATGACCAGGGTCAATCGAGGGGCCTTTGGTTGTCTTATTGTGGCTGTGGGTCAAAACCCAGATAGGTTGATCCTTGGTAGTAGTCTATTCTGATTCTGTTCATTTCTGCTGGTCTGGGGTCCCCAGTTTTGATCCATGGTCAGTAAGATGCCACCTCTATAATATGGCCAACATAGGATACATAGGTTGTAAATGGTTGTATATAAACCCATCCACCACCGATGAGAGAGAGAGAGAGCTTTGTCCTGACAGCAGTGGAGCTCAAGTAGATAAAATTTGAAAAACGACAGAGAAAGAAGGGAGCTTGAAAGGCTACCAGGGTATATGAGGGTCCAGGGTTGTGATACCTTTGGTTGCTCGGGCAGCTTGGCCTTGGAGGAATACATCTTGTACGATCCTGCTTCCCACACAGGCGATGGCCGATGAGCGGATCGGGGCATTTGAAGGGTGTCAACAGGGCGTGATGATCCCCTCTACAACCAGAGCAAGAACAATGGTACCATGCTAATCAATCAAACGAGACGAGGAGGCCTCCAAAACACGTTTTTCTTGTTGGGTGTTGTTGGTCGGAACTGTATGGAATTGTGGCATGCTTTGACAGAGTGTTGCGCAGTTTGATTGAGAACATGCCCAATACATAATCGCCTGAGCCTGAGGCTTTGGATTTTGCTACTAGTACTCACCACGAAGACGACGACGACTACCACTGCCACTACTACTAGTACTAGTACTAGTACTAGTGCTAGTAGTACTAGTACTAGTGCTACTACTACTACTACTACTACTACCACCACTATGTACTACTACCACCACTATGTACTACTACCACCACCACCACGCCTACGACTTTGACTACGACTACGACTACGACTACGAACTACTACTACTACTACTACTACTACTACTACTACTACTACTACTACTACATAATATATAGTAATATTAATAATAGTAGCAAGGTTGGCCCTCTTAAACAACATGCCTTGATTCATGCCTCTCTGATCCCGCGAGGTGCGCCGGGAGAAGCTCGCGAGATGGGTTGCCTCCGTTTGCGCAGCAAGAGGAGGGTGGGCCCATCGGACTTGGACTTCGTGATGCCCAAGGTGAGAGAGGCCCATCTTGGGATTGCTGGTCCAGCTGAAAGTTTCTATCAGATGTCATGCGGTTTTGTTCTAAAAATGTATTATACGATATTATACAGTTATACAGTATATGCATAGACAATCATATATATACATGTACAGATATACATGTAATGGTTTCTTCCTCATGATGGTGTATCCTGGTTGGTTGATGCCTCCTTACTTGATTTCTGTTTACAGTCCGACCGTTTCCGACCAGGATGGCACAGCAGCACAGTTCAGACCGCTGGCTTTGAAGGAGTCCATTTCGCAGATCTACGAGAGAGGGAGCCTTGAACATTTGCCACTGGGAGAAGAAGTACATGTGTAGAGGTCGGTTATGTTGAATTTTGGGAGCTACTTTCAGAACGATTTGCAAACTTGTTTTGATCTCGACATATCTATATATACATATCTTGACATGCAAGCTCTTCAAGATTGAAATATACTGATCATTGCCATTCCTTCCTTCTCCAGTTTCTACGAAACTTAATGAACAAACTCTTCAGATATATAGTCGCAAATTTGTAGCTGCAAGGGCCAACCATTTCAGGCAAGGATTTGGATCCGAAGCAGTTCCGCCCAAAAAGAAGGTGCACTTCGGGTACGAAAGGTTGCACCTTCAATCACATTCTGTAACCGCTTTCTTTCAGCTCGAGGCAAATCCTGCGTGGCACCTCTGATGTGTCCATCGAGCTTCGATTGCATGGTGAAGCAATCTTTGAAGCTCACCCTATGGACAAGACATGGGCGGTGCGCTTTCAACATCCATTGTCCCACTTCCAAGCTTTTGGAATCCTGATTGGAGTGCTGGACAATGCTTGCTTAGCTAGTTTCCACAAGTGAAAATGCTGGTGATCCCGATTGACCGCTCAGCAGGCTAATCCCCATACGAAGGCCAGCAAAATGATTGATTTGCATGCACATCATGTCCATCAGAGGCAAACCACTACTGTAGGGCGCACGCCAAGAGTGTTTAGTTTGTGTGCAGCGAGTTAACAGTTGGTTGCTACTTGGCCTTCGGTTTGCGTCGGGCACCCAACAAGGGAAGTCTGAAGCAGCTACCTGCCATGCAGGCAAATCCTGCCAATGCAAACTGAACCCAGAACAGCGGCACTCCTCAGTACTACTCAAAGATACTCAAAAGATCTCAAAAGTATAATTAATCTAAATTAATCTCGCTAACTTGCCAGAGTGACATGCCCCTTTTTTCATTGACCGGGGTTATTTAAGCAGAAGAAGTCCTCAGTGGAAACCGCTGGGTACCCACAGCAGTCTATACTGCAATCATTTGAGACTCTCAAAGCCAGATTGCTCAGACGAGAGAAGTGCCACCACGATTGAAGGCTTGAATGTATAGCCTGGTTCCTCCGACGGCTTTCTCCGTCAAAACACCTGCAGCAAGGCAGTGTATGCACCGTTTATGCCAGATGACAAGCCTCGGCAGAACGCACTTCCAAGTTCACAGGGTGTACTGTACGAAGCCCTTGAACTCCCTCACCATGCGTTTGCGGGAAACACGCTGGACCCTTGTGGTTTTGGTGTGCAATGATACCTGTCCAGCACGTTTTCTTGCTGGAATTCAACTTGTCAACCGTGCCAGACGTCGTTCTTTTGCTTGCTACAGTATGATGGAGGAAAGCGTTGGATGCGCTAGGAGTTGCCACTTGTGCATTTGAAGCATATTTTTCTGGAGGCAAACCAAAGCAATTCCTTGAGTGAGGAATTTTGTGGCCTTGGCTCCTCAGTAAAGAATGGAGTCTCAACGCGTTTCCGTTGGTTCCCAGGTGACAGACATATGGGAACCTCGGACGCGCTTGGGTTTCACCATGTCTGCAGCGGGGCAAAGTCCCATGCTGTGCTCGCGTTGCCACCGAGGAGTGTGACCGCAGATGACATGGATTTGGACGGACTCTGAATTGGTCGATTTTCCGCGGAGAGTCCAATCGTGTAGAGTTGAAGATCAGGGGGGGCCTTGGCTCCGGCACAGTGTTGCTCCGCATGCGCTCCACACGCGCACGGAGAAAGTGAGCATGCCCTGTACTGGGTGAACTGTTCTCCTTTTCATTCAGCAAATCCTTCCAAAGTGTGACAGAAGCCGTGAACACGGCTGCAACGCTTCAATCAACAGATGGAAATACATGGAAGTACAAGAGAGGATTGAGACACATTGAACACTGTTGGTTGGAGTTTGGAGGACCTCTCAAAGGTTTCCGATTCTCATTGGTCAGCTTTTGAAACTGGTGATCTCCTAGACTCTTAGACTTTGGATTGTCCAAGACATTTCCAAGTGCCTATGCCATGCAGATTTTACACTACATGTTGGATTGTTGGCCTGGAGCAAGCACCCACCTTGTTCTTTTCTAACATCCTGATTCCTTTGTTGAACCATGCCTGAGAGGAATCTGCTAATGAGAAAAAAAGGTTTCAGCGAAGGACGGGGAACAGGCAGGGTCTTCACTTGAAGGCAAGGGCCGGTCCAAGACTTGTATACATATATATATATATATATGGATTCAACCATCCAAAGCTGAGATGTGAAAGGGATGGCCGCGCCCAAAGCTCACGAGAGGCTATAGAAGGCTGATGAGTTACAGTACTTGATGAGGCAGCTTCGTGAGTGGTAATAAAAAGACCCTGTCTAGTAACTAGTATAAGTTGTCCCACGATCAAAGGAACAGAAAGATGTATTCTCCCACTAGGTTCATGCTCCAAGCAGCTGGTCACTGGTCGTCAACTTGTCAACCCCTATCAACCCCGGAAAGCCGCTGAAGTGTCAAGGATTCAGAATTTTGTAACAAGAAAGAACGCGTCGAGACATTAACCCCGTACATCATCAAGCTGCTGTCAACTCGAAAGACTGCTATCTTTGGAACTCGGGAAGGTTGGGCACCAGCGCACAGTACCAGTGCAGAGAAGTGAGACAGACTTCAGATGTTTGCCCGTCCTTCTCAATCTTGTATCTCGTCGAGCCCATGAGGCTTTCAATGGCTTCAATAAGTCCAAACATGTAGGGCAAGAAGGAAGCAGAAGAAAACCAAGACAAATTCCATGAACGTGTGAAAATACAGCTAGAAGTTAGAAGCTTGAAGCCGCAAACCTGCAGTACATCTTAGTTTTATCCTACCTATCAAGCCTTTCTCTCTTCAGCTTAAATTAAAGACAAGGACCAGCCGATGATCTAGACCTATTGGCACGATTTGCATTACTTTGCGGCCAGAACTGCAATGGCTGTCCTGCAGCGAAGCTAGTATGGCGACAAGTGAAGGCATGGCAGGGAATCAGGCTGCGCATCAACAGGTTGATGTCTCATGACCCTTGGTTGAAGAAATTGATCGTTCGAGAGCCATGATTGTGCAGAGTCACTTGTCAGAATCGCAGGCTCAAGGCTTGAGGCACGTCGCCTTGTTGGAAGCACTCTGGCAGCCAGACTTGGAGGTAGTACGGTGCGTTATGAAGACTTCGCGATCCATGAACTGTTGTTGCCCACAGGAAGGGTTTCCCAAAATTCCATTGATCATAGTTGATATTGTTTGGATTGATGGACATCCACACAAAATGCCGTTGAGCCCGTGAGCCCCCCCCCTCCATATTGGCTTCACCGTCAGCTGCAAGCGCACCATTGACCTTGCAGGGCTATGCTCAAGTATTGGGAGGACTTCCGGGCTTCCGGTGCACGATGCTTCTGGTGCTTCTTGTGGTTTGTGGATGTTTGAAACTGGGACAGCTCAGTGACGTGCCTGTGAGGCTCGGAAAGCTCAGTCCAAGAAACATCATGCAGCATAGGAAAGCCTTGTGTGACACAGACATGCCATTCCTGCCATTCCCTGACCGACATGAATCTGGTGAAGTCGCTCCTTGCCTCGCAGCTATTTTTGTTACAAGGGATCTAACGAGAGAAGCCTAACGTGTCAAAGGACCATGGATAAATCCCTGGATACATCGTCAGAGGACCACATCATGCAAGTATCAAGCCAGGGGGCCCTTGCCAGATGCCTCTAATGACGGATTGTCAAAGCATCCACTCAGCCCCATGTCAGTGAGGTCACAAAAGGCCTCATGGTTTGAAGGACTAGACTAGATGTCAGAAGGGGTGAGACTGAAACCGTAAAGCTAACTCTTGGCCATTTGGATTCATCGCACTCATACATGATCTCACCTAGCAGCCCTAGCACCCCACCACCAGGTCTTCAGGAGCTTACTTCATTGAAGGTGTCCTGTTGTTTCTGTTTCGACCCGAGATTTTCGCTTGCCTCCCATGTGGGTTGAGCCTTTGCATGGCGCAGCGGTTGCGGCATCCCAAGACTTTGCAAGGGGACGAAGCGCTGGATGCCACTGTGGATCATATCCTGAAGGACAGACAAAACACAGCGGGTCAGTCGCTTTGGGTCGGATGGGTTTGATATGGTTTGATTGATGTTGGCATTGATTGATGCTTTTCTTCAGCTTTATCAGCATCATGACTCACCTTGCCAGGGCTTGGTAACAGGCAGCGCCTTGCGAAGTTATGTGCAGACAGAGCTTGGCCCCTGCAAGACAGAGCTTAGGAACTTCCTAAGCACCTTGGACAGCAGTTCGTCTCAATGGCTTGGGAATGCAAAGGGAATAGCTTCAGTGGTTCTGACATCATGAAGTAGCACAATTTGCTGGAAATAGCACTTGGATGCTTGGATCCTCAGGCACTTTGTCATCTAAGTTGTACCTAACCTCAGTGCCCCAATGATAATGACTGTTGTAGGTGGGCTTGGAAGTGCCCCCAAGAGATGAAAAGATGTCCACCGTCATATTATAAACATGGAGGCCATTGCTATTAGGGTGGAGGCCATTGCTACTAGTTTAAAGAAACCCAAATGTGGCCACTTGCGGCCACTCGGCCCGGTCCCGGCTGGCGGATTTTTGTCCGCGTGCAAACAATGAATCAAAGAATGACTGTCAGATCACAGGTTCTTCAGTTGTAGGCATTTGTCACTGGCTGAAATGCCCACCAATTTGCAGGCTGGAACAACTGAAACCGCAGATTATCAGATTGCCTCATCCCAAAATCCAACCTTGTTCGGCGGTAAGAGTCGTTTGTTTAGCAAGACACATGGAAGGCATGAGGGCAAGCTTTGCGTAGTAGTGTTGATTTCAGCACAATGGCACACACACTGGGAAATGAGTTGGGAGTGTGGAGCGTTAGGATGATGGCAAAGCCCAGAACCTCCTAAGTATGTGTCCTTGAAGCTTGAAAACACAGGTCAAAGTTGAGTTAGCGACACCGTCAATCATGTCGGTCATGCAGTAGGTTGAAGTAACTGACATGTCAAGAAAACAACAACAGAACAAGTTGGTTTCAACCGCCTTCCTGGTGTAGAACAACGTACAGCGGCTCCAACAACAAGACAAACCATCGTTGAGAACATTTGGAAAAAGGCAGGTACACAGTTGATCAGACTGTGCATCCACCGAACAAGCATAGCTTTGTTCGCCAGCGTTTGCTTGTCGGCTGCTGGCCCCCTGCTCTCAAAATTCTCAATTCCGAAAGTTAAACATCCGCATGTTAGAGCGGTTTACACACAAGAACCACGGGCAGGGAATGGATCTTCAGACTCTTTTTGAACTTGCGGTAGATCAAGAAGTATGAAGACCACAACGGACAAACCTCATGCAGTTGATGTTTGCTGCTCTCAGTCAACCGCTGTTACAGCTTCAGAAAAGGTTCATGCAAGCAAAGCCAGAAGGGGCCAACACATCTCATTTGATTGATTCTTGCTTCCAGAACCTGCGTTGGTTCAGGTGAGGCCTTTGAGGGGATTTTTCCTGGCATACGAGTAGGCCTGGGCTTGGGAGAGGGCGAGGGCAACAGCTTGCGAGGGGAAGCCATTTGGGTGTCAAACTGAGGGGACCCTAACCAATGAGTTTCACTTACGTCGCCTGAAATTCTGACATATCAAGAAGGATTCTTATGCAGCATTGCAGCATTTGATTCAGTCTATGGCGCATGATCCAAGAAGGTTCATTCGTAGCAACACTTACGAAGGTTTTTCCAGAGGGTATTTTTCACGGCTAAAACTGCATCAGCAGGCGTGGCATCAGGGCATCAGCATTGCTGTTTGTTTCCATGGATAGAGCCACAGATCCGAAACAAACATCGAGCCGCACTGGTGGAAATTAGCCAAGTCTATATATGCGCGGCATTGATGCTGTAAGTGCGCGGAATTGAGTCTATATTAAAGAGCCTCTCCAAAAGACTCATTCAGAAGCCCGCAAAGTGACATGTCCCCTGGTTGCAGGCTCTTTTGGGCCTGTAACGAACCCAAAGTTTGCGTCGCCAAACTTGGCTGAAGCATCCTCATCAACTGACATGAAAATCGTGTTTCACATCCCGAATCCCGTCCATAGGAAGAATGCTACTAGGGGCTCCTGGCATCGCTACTAGGAGCAAGGACGCTACTAGGGGCTCCTGGCCTTACTACTGGGAGCAAGAAGCTATTAGAAACAAGAATTAGTAGTAAATTTAAAAAGAACTGACGCACTTCAGGTCGGGACCTCCTCTCTGAGGAGGCCATCAGTGGCTTCGAGAAGGCGAGAAAGGGCCGAGCGTTGTGAACGGCGAGGAAGGTTTCAGGATGTTTTGGGGTATGTGAGACAATGTGGCAAACAACAAGTACAGAGCGTTCGCCAGTATACTCGTTACCCATGTAAGAACTTGATGTACTGGTTATTACTGGTTGCTGGTAAGTGTGTATTTCTCAAACGAAAAGACATGGCAACCTGGTTGTCGGCCTCGCGCACTGGAACCGGTAAAGCCCCAATTTGTTATTTCCCAAAACACAAGGTGCAGCCTGCTCGAAGCTGTCCGCATGAATGCAAAGTGGAACTGTAATCTTGATGGTTGGGACATACAGAATGATGTAAGCACTGTGCATGGACTTGGATCCAAGAGTCACAGCCCTAGCATTCCCTTCCAGAGTGGGGGTTATGAAAATTCAGGTCCCCCTTGCTTGTGGTTTCTGTGTTTGACAACCTGAGGTGCTTCTTACGGCCATCGAAGAGAATGACTTTAGAGCTGAGACAGCGTTGGAAGAGGTACTTTGCAGGGCTGAGGAAAGGGAAAAGGCAAGGCCAACAAGCTAGGCAGTCAAGAAGTTAGTCCAAGGTCTTCCAGAAGAGCATGGATAGAACGGATAGATTGCTAGTGCTTGTTGCCCGCTGTGAGTTTCTGTAACTGTAGATGTCATTCTGCTAGACAGAACATGATCACTTCTTAATGCCCATGCATGGTTCAAATCCATGGCATTGCTTTGTACTTTCTCCATGTGCTTGCTGATTTGCAAACTGTGAGGCCATCCGTTTGGTGCCAAGCCAATTCAACTCAGATGCACGTGTACTGGTGCGGAACCCCAGTGAGCTTTATGCATTTTGCCTGTGATGTGAAGCTACGTCGTGCCTGCAAGGCCAAACCAGAAGCAGTCTGGGCGGTTCATCTTCTCAAGACATGTGCGTGTCCTGCCAAAGGCACCCAAATCTAAAGACCTAAAGCCTGCTGTGGGTGTCTGGTGTGCTGGACTAGTGCCCTGGACAGAGGTGTTGCTGGCTGAACTGGAAGACGCAGTTTGCACCAGCAGCGTGATGGGCGAATTGGAAAGTCCCGATGATGCGGAGGTGCCCGAAGTGAAAGGGTCGCTCTTGTCGGCGCTCGCTGAAGTAAAACAGTATCAAGTTTGTGTGGATCCCATTTGATGCACTCGGATCAGAATAGACTGTCAAGCAGATTCAATCAAAGCATTCATTAGTGGCAAGGGTGTTATAGATTTGCACTATGTGGCAAGGGTCATGCATGCAGATCGATGTGCTGCCCCACGAGCAAGGAAGAGACAGAAACCCGCAAGAGAACGCAAGAGATTAACGTGAGTGACAAGTGGATGAGCCATGCGAGGAGCCAGTGCAGTTTTCGACAGTTGTCTCCTTCGAGGCTGAGAGGCGGTGCCGGATGGTGCCAGGGCTGGGTTCGAAAGGTGTCTACCTTGGCGGTGGCCATTATGCTTTAGTCTTAGTAGCTTCTTGTTACTAGTAGTAAGGCCAGGAGCGCTCCTAGTAGCGATGCCAGGAGCCCCTAGTAGCTTCCCTGTTACTTGCACCCTATGAAGATACTTTGAAGATACTTTGAGTGTTTCCTGATCCTTCGCATTTGCGGTGTCCGAGATGTGTTTCAAATTAAAAGCCGCATGCCTGCCACACTGGATGGACATTGCGCCTAAACCCGAAGATGATGCGAGCGGAGGGTTGTTGGTATGCTGCGGAATTTGATTGTGTCGAGGATTCGAGTCCTTGCCCTTGCCTCAAATTGTCAAGCGTATCCATGCCAGCGGGTTGCAGTTCACAAGATTTTACAAGTACAATCAAGTACATTGAATTCTCATGGCGGTCATCGCTAGGTTGGAGGCCATCGCAGTTCTTTAAAGAAGAGTGGCCGGAGACCAGTGACCAGCACCAGCATCAGCATCAGCCCTTTCTGGAGGCACGATGTGGATCCAGAGGACGTCTTCTCGGATCGCTTAGAACCGCTGGTCCTGTACCAATCGCAGGTGGGAGAGGATACGGGAGGATCACTGGGGCATTGCTGGATCTCCAGGTTGTATGGCGTTTGCATCAAAATGACGCACTGCAAGCTCAA